ATTTTATTTGTTGGATAGGGCCGGTATGTAGTTTGCCATTCATAACCACTCTTGGAGGACGAATGCATTAACCCTAACCCCTTGGGCTCTTTTACTAGAAAGTATCCTGAATCTGCCAAAATCCATCAATTTTGCCATGCAAAAAAATGTTGGTGGCCAGTGAGTCCATCAGAATCCACCAGTTAGGCGGGAGTAAATCTGTTGAGATCCTGAATCCGCCAAAGTCCCCCAACAGCTCAATATGGAGGTATCCTGAATCCATCAAAATCCTGTAGTACCGGTAGGCTTACAATCCTGAATCCAGCAAAATCCCCCAGTTTGGGCAATATGGAGGTATCCTGAATCCACCGAAATCCCCCGAAACAGGGTGTGGATTTTGATGGATTCAGGTACGTTAGGGTTAAGGAGTGCATGAGAATTAATCATTTATGTGAGAAAAAAGTGGACTAGCCACATTTATTGAATGACATGCTTATGATACAAGAACAATACATGCTGCACATAAATACAGGTGTACATGTATATGTACATGATATCACTACTATCAGTCACACACTGTGTGTTTCATCTCATTACTAACAATTTTCTTTTTAGAAAAATATCCATAGATATAAAAATAAAGTTGACAAATCAACCAACTGTCCACGAAACATCTCATACAATTAATATGTAGCTGCCTCCCACTCTAAAGCTGTCAAGCCACTCCCCCTCCCAGAAAATTAGCTTTACATTACATGTACCGGTACCAAACCTCTCATTATCAATTCGTTAGTTCCTTCTTTCTCTCTTTCACTCCCCCCCCCCCCCTCCCAGACAGACCACCGGATTCAAACCGCTAGGGAACCGTACTCCACGGGCTTTCCGCTTCACTTTCACATGCCCAGGTTTTTCCATCCCATCAATATTCACAGAGTGGGGCCCCGGCCGCCGTTGCATTTCCGATCGTCCCGGACCCGTCTTCGGAAAATGGATTTTTAAATGTCAACGCAACACGTCTTTGGCAGTGTAGCGTTTGTGCGGCATTAAGCCATTTATGTATTGGCTTTTCTGATCTGTAAGAAACCAACATGTTTTCTGAGCAATAATTGCAATTCACTCTGCATGCATGCAAAGACATTATCTCCTGCATTCGAAACAAATAGTAAATTACCTTTGAACTTACCGGTACTTATACACGTGAACCGGTACATGTTTATCAGTAAGCATGTATACATGTACATGTATAAATGTATCCAAGTCTAACATGTACATAACGACTTCTAGGGCCATAAGAATTTGTACTTTGTAAATTATTATGTAAATTATGACGGATTATCAGATTTTTGTACATTTCCAAGATATTCCATTTAAGCACCGTCAATATATCGATATTACTTGATTATTCGATACTATTTTGATATCGATATCGCCAATAGCAATTTTTTAATATCAAAATATCGAAATTTTCGGATTATCAGATTTTTGTACATTTCCAAGATATTACATTTAAGCACAGTCGACATATCGATATTACTCGATTATTCGATACTATTTTGATATCGATATCGCCGATCGATAGCAAATTTTTTAATCATATCAAAATATCGAAATTTTCGATATTGAGGAATCATATCGAAAGTATCGAAAATGCGTCAGATTATCATCAAAATATATCTCCTGTAAGTGCTTTAACTTTGTGTTTAAATCATTTGCTGTCTAATGAAATAAAACTCGGCGGCAACTTGTGCGTGGGTCTCAAAATAAAAACATTGCGAAATGCCATTTTTACTACATTTTTGAAATACATTCTTATGGCCTAAAAATTTCAAAGCGGGCAACCTTAAAATAATTCATCATTTCAAGAAAAACCAAAAGAACTTCATGAGGGATTTCATACGATACCGCAACAAGAACGTAAAGACAGATACTAAACAACAGGCCAGACGCAAGCCCATTTTGAAACGGGTGAGAGAGTGAATGCACATCTGCTATCAAATTAGCAATGTTCCAAATCGAGTGAACATCCCAGCCCTTCGGCTGTTTAATCGGATTCTTTGGAATCTTTTCTGTGCTAGCTCCCTTTTTTTCAAAGTCGTCCATAATTCAATACCCTCGGAATGGGCGGCAAAAAGATTTGAGAGAGAGAGCAATCTAATGTAACTGTTAAGGAATCAATACGGTCTTTCTCCCAAAATAACGTGATCCGTTAAATGTCAGCGTGCTTCACACATAGCGGCAGCTCTTGTTGCAGTTGACATTACCGGCGCATATTGTCCGTCCAAAGAAATATTGCATTGGGGAAATAATAATGGCGTCCAATAACGTATTGACGGCTCCGATTGGCGACAATGCCGATCCAACGAAGCATCGGATCAAAGTAAAAATAGTGAGCTCGTGTCCCGGCCGACACGTTGTGTCCCCTACAATTAAAAATGGGCCAAACAGAAAGGGAAGACAAAAAAGATTTGAAAAGTGTTTGTTTTTTTTCCCCCTGGAAAAATCCAATTGTGTTATGCACGAGATGGACTGTGATTTTCTTTCAGCACAGTTGATGCTAAGCAATATTTATTTTGGCCAAGGTGGGAATAATATCTTTCGCGAATTGAACTGCGCGTGCCGCAGACAATCATTCTAACAAACAGGGCACTGGGGATGATCTTTGTATTATTGATTTTAAATAGGATGAGAGGTTCTGTAATTTCATCTTTTTCAATGTGTACCCAACATCAGCAAGATGGAATGTCATGTCTGGCCATAAGCAGAAGGGATCGGCCAACGCCTCGGTGCAAATGTTCCTGTTCATTGGAATCAAATCCTCTCTGCAACGTTTGACGCTGTGATTCTCAATCTGTGTATGCAGGGAGTGAGCCACTGTACTCTGCACATGACTCATCAACTTCCAATGTGTGATGCACTTGTACATGTAATTTGGATATGTACCCATCCACAAAAAGTCTCATTCAAAACTCATGATACATGTATATGACCCTGCAATTGGACCAATGTTACTTGTTAGATCAAAGTACAACGTTCACAAATACCTGCATGCATTCTGTATGCTTATCACTAGTTTTTGGCGCTTACATACGCTAAGTACTTGAACATGTCCATCCATGTACGATAGACAACATGGCATCATGTAATGATGTACTCGTGTGTGACTGTCAGTGTCAATGCAATGATGTATCAAATATTGCCTACTGTACTGTACAGTTTTAAGCAATAAACATCAAGTACATGTACAAAGTGGAGTGTAATTTTGCATACTGTTCAAATATCGGTACGTGAATGGCAATGCACTGTGCATGTATCTTATCTGTAGAGTATGATATACATGTAATTTACATGTAAATTTGCCCTCACATGGCATACCGGTAAGTGTAAATTTGAGACATTTTCCAATTGCTGGCACAACGACAGACCAGGTACAAATACATGGTACATGTACATGTAAGGAGAGATGTTGCTTTGAGCAGCGGTAGCATGCGCATCTTGGAAAAGTCTGCGCATCTTAGAATTGCGCGAAACTCGTGGTGGTACGGTACAAGAACATGGACCACGGTTGTATGGGATATCACACTGTTATTGGCATGGATCGACCAATCAGGATCGAGGATTCAAGTTTGCTTGAAGTACATTATTACACAGAATATGTAATGTGCATTCCAACTGCTGACTGCTGACTTTGGCATTCATACCAGAGAATATTAGTGCATGCGCATGTACTGGTACATAGTATACACTTACATGTCTTCCTGTTACAGATCACAGTCCCATCTATTTTTAGAATTTTTTTTTTATCACTCTCTGCCAGTAATTACTCTACCAGCCATTTCATTCTATTTTTAGGACGTGCCAATATTGATAGGACCTGGATGAACACTTTCAATTGCATTCTTCGCTCTCAGTATGGTTTCTGGATTATGCTGCAGTTACAGTTTCACAATTGCAATTTGAAGTTATCGTCTACGCAATTTGAAGGCTTCCATAGTATCTTTTTTTTATTGTGCATATTTAATATATCAAAAGAAGCCCAATGTTTGCATGAATCCGTGGGCTTTAATAATAATACGGTGTGCATGTTTTTTGTGAGAGTCAACTTGACAGAAACCATTCTGTTATGGAATCAGTCAGTCTGCAATGAATTCAATTTATGGCTTTTTGGAAAACTATTGGCCCCATGAACGAACAAGAAGATGGCGGTTCCCCCCCCCCCCCCCAGTGGATGGGACATATCGCATGCCCATACTAATTTTGTATGTATTCTAAATGTGCATGGAGCCATAGCGTGTTCGAGCCAGCGTCAGGCGCCATCTGCAATGCCTTTGAATGTTCCTCCAAGTGGTCTCCCCCAACTCTCCCTTTCTTACCGTTGAGGGGGTACTTGCCTATGGAGCCCATTAACATCTACAGGTAGCAATGTCTTATATTTTTCTTGGTCTACGGTAATTCCCAATTCTTTTTCTGTAAACTTTGATGCAAACACATGTATCCATCCACATCGGGTCAATTGGATTTTGCAGCCACTTCACAAGTCCCCGAGGGATGTTGGCCTACAGTCAAACATGTAGGCCTGCTTCCTGCTTTTAATTCTTAAATGGAGGTCAATTAGTTTTAGGACGAGGAGAATGCAAACAAAGAAACAGATACAAGTGGCAAAAAGGAAAGAAATTTGTCACTTGTACATGTACCTGCAAAACTGAAAGATTGGTTTGCATACATGTACCTGTTTTCGAGTACTACAGTTTACAAAATGTTAATGGTACTACAGACGTTTTGGAGACTACCGGTACCTGGAGCTGGGAGTCGACTGACAACACCTCAGAAAAAAATATGGGATTAAAATATTCGCAGAGAACACAAAATTAGGCAAAGAACACTGCAGTCATGCCACACAGTTCAAGACTGCAAAATGAACAACACAAAGACTTTCTTTTGAATGGAATAAACACACAAAACCTCTTTCTCCCTTTCCTTTCATGTGAGACAACGAAACCAGAAAAGAAAAAACAACTAACGGAACAAATAAAAAGCATCTATAGAATGGACAACTTACCAAGAAATACAGTCTGACGATCTTGTCTACTCTCTTCCATGATGTACTTGTCGCCTAGGAACTCGGCAGTCACTGCTGAGACGTGCACCTTGCCCGGGATGCCAGACGCTTCCATCTTATTGGCCATGGTCACGTCGTTGGACCAGACATCAAACTTGTAGCGGCTCTTGCCGATGATGCCACAGAGAACTTTGCCGGTGTGGACACCGACACGCATGTTGACCTTTTCACCAGTGTCCTGGCAGAAGTCCTTGATGGCCTCTATCATGCTCAGGCCCATGTCGACGCAGCATTCGGCATGGTCTGGACGGGGCTCGGGGCAGCCCGAGACACAGTAGTAGCAATCGCCAAGAGTGCAGATCTTCTCGCAATTGTGATCTAAGCAAAGGATGTCAAACCTCCCAAAGAGGTTGTTGAGAAGGCCTACAAGAGTATCGGCACTCTTGTTGGCACTCATGCGGGTGAAGCCTGCGATGTCGGCGAAGAGGATGCTGACGTCTTCCATGAGGTCCATGTAGAAAGGTCGGAAGATTCCATCGTTGCGTTCGCCTTTCTCATCGAGAAGCTTTTGGGCGATGGAGTCAGGCATCAGGGAGTGGATGGTGGTCTCTTTGAGCTGCTTCTCACTCTGGTGTTGATGGCGGGCGCTGACCGCTTGCCCAATCTTCATGAAGGTGTTGCGGGAGCGCACCTGGGACATGAAGAAGACGTGGGTACCCATCAGGTGCACGCAGATATGAAGGCAGAGTTTTGTGAAGACCTCGCCAGTGATGCTCCGATTTGCGTTTGCTGGGTCCACGTACAGGAAGTAGAGCAGTTCATAGGCCACGGAAAACATCAACATGGGGATGACGGTGTACAGGTAGGGCATGGGGAACATGGTGTACATCATGAGAATCGTCTCAATGCACACGGCAAATGTGGCCACACTGCTCATAGGGTAACTGTTACTGGATGAGCTATGTGAAGCAAAGGTGAGGAGAGTAAGTCCGCAAAGACTAAGACATAGCACACCGGAGATCTTCTGGAAGTGGCTCTTGTAGTGATGAGAGACAGTGAAGACCAGAAGGATGATGCAGAGGACTAGGAGACAGGCTACGGCTAACTCAAACATGATCCATGTCGCGCGGCTGCCATCCTCAAAGCAAAGTTCATCACCCTGTCTGCTGACAGTGTAAGTGGTCTGAACTGGGAGATAGATCAGCCAGACCACGCAGGCAGCCAGGATGTAGCAAAGGGCATAGCGGAATCGCCGGCGGATCTGGGAGAAGGAGTTGTACTGGAACTGCTCCTCGATGATGCTGGAGTCAAACTTGGGGTTCCACCAGCTGCCCGAGGCCCGCTCAAAGAGCTTAGGGCACAGGGTCCGGGTCTTGCTGCGGCTGTTCTCGGAGCTGCGCCGCCGCAGGGTCACCTCCACTGGGGTTTCGTCAGCGTTGGGGTTGAAATGGACTTCAATGTCGCTCGCGTTGCCGGCCATGATGAAGTTTTTTTAGTTCAATTTAGCTGTGCAGATTCATTTCAGAACCATCTGGAGACTGTGGAGAAATTAAAATGAAGTCAAGTTAAAATATAAACAGCCACGCATTGTAAAGCAAACATACACAACAATTATATGTAGTTAACCCTAAATCCCTCAGCATTTTTAGAAGTACTTTTATGAATCCAGCTCAATTCTTTCCAATGCAGGAAGCAAATACATGTAGCACATTTTGTAACTTTCAAAGGGTATCTTACCCCATGGCTCTACCTTTGTCAATTGTGCAAAATATTACAAACCCCCGGTGGATGTTGAATGATCAGGAAGGGAAAGGGTAGACGAGCTTTACAAGGAAAAAGAAACAGAAGGCAAAAGAACACTCTTAAGCGGGAGATGTCCATTAACCCTAACTCCTGGGGCTCTTTTACTAGAAAGTATCCTGAATCCGCCAAAAGCCACCAATTTTGTCATGCAAAAAATGCTGGTATCCTGAATCCATCAGAATCCCCCAGTGTAGATTCTGGAGGTATCCTGAATCCGCCAGAATCCACCAGCAAAAGTCTTGATGGATTCTGGCAGATTCAGGATACCATGGTGGCATTAAAAAAAATACAGCATGTTTTTCCATAGAGTCTTCAAAATCCATCACCTAAATTTCTGGTGGATTTTGACGGATTCAGGATACCATGCTCGCATGAAAATTGTGATGTGTGTTGTTGCATATGATCCATCAAAATACACCAATGCATGGCGACCCCAGCATGGATCAGTACCGAAGTGAATACGTCTCGCGCACAAAATTTGTGTGAAAGACATTAGCGCATGTTTCAGCCCGTAAACCATAGCTATAGAATGAAAAGACTGGATCGGCAGCGCGTCCGCACGCGCCCAGTCACTGTGCGATAAATCTCCGCCATTTTGGCTGTCTCTCATAGACGCGCAACAAATTAACGTAAAGTAATGGAGCTAAATGTATCTTTCCTCCAGCACGTGACCTAGCTCAACACGCGCAAAGCAAGAAATGCGCACCGAGTATTTACGCGATGCGCACACATAATTATTAGCGATGCACATGGTGTTCTTTGCGCGTGAACGGCATTGCGTTCGTCACGTTTTCGCGCATTATCTGATTATTTGTATCTTTCCTCCAGCACGTGACCCTCCATGCAAGTCCACCCAGTACATGTGTGTACATGTTTGTACAGTATGTGACAGACTTGGCAGGGCTAGTGCCAGCAGTATTTACTTGACCACAAACATTGCAAAAGAGTTAAACTGTTGAGATCCTGAATCCATCAAAGTCGCCCAATAGCTCAAAATGGAGGTATCCTGAATCCATCAAAATCCGCCAGTTCCGCTAGGTTTCGAATCCCAAGTCCATCAAAATCCCCCAGTTTGTTCAATATGGAGGTATCCTGAATCCGCCGAAATCCCCCGAAACAGGGGGGTGGATTTTGATGGATTTAGGTACGTTAGGGTTAATGGCATCAGTTTCAGCACCACACAATTTTGGTTGTGCAAGCATCAAGCGTTTTTGATCGCCGACTCGATAATCCAATTCCAATTGTTGGCATTTTGCACTGCAGTGTAAAATGACGGCGGAGGACTTGTGCAAATGTCACCAGACCGGGAATGTCCCAATAGCATTGCGGCTATTTGGAATTGTCCTCATTTCACAATCCAGTCCGAGCGGCCCAGCCTTGACTGCAGTTGTTGATGTCAGTTCTGACATTTCGTCGGGTCCCTTGGAATATCCACACAGGGGTAATGTAATCGTTCACCTCTTAGAGCCGCAAACATGCTCTGTGTATGGGGTTGAAGCTCAATAGTAGTAATCCGACAAGCTACTTAATCAGTGATGGTTTCTGCCGACCAAACTTCCATAATTCAAAACTGTCTCCTTTGTGGCAAATCTTTAAGGTTTAGCTCAAATTTCAACAACAAAATTTACTATTTTTTTGTTCTATCTGTTTCAAAGGCCTGAAGCTGTCCCCACCACATTTTAAGCCAGCTGCAGTCGACAGGCCAACTTCCATCACTCATCAGCCCTGGCGAGCCTGTGCTGTCAAGACGTCTAGAGGCCTAAAGCCGCCGCCCTCGGTATCATTTATAAATAAATTCTGAATTAAACAAGCTGACCGTTATCTGCTGCTGTCGTAAATTACAAAACTTACGAGGGCAATACATTGTAAGTAACACCTCATTCCATCACGCAGTCACAGCATAAGTCGAGCTGGGTGCGGCCATGAGTGGAGGGAACGGTAAAAAATTGTGTGTGCATGGTGGTGACAATTTGTGTGTGCATGGTCGAAGAACAATTTAAATAATCTAAAAATGGCATTCCCCCGGTACCCGTTCAGTATGCGTACCTCAAGCTTATCAGTAAACCAGTCACTGAATGTATTCATCCGATTGTTTATTATTCACTTTAATATGTTTATTCTCCTTAGCTGCGATGATTATTTAATCAGTTGATTTCTTAAACGTACATACAGGTAGGGAAAGAAAAACAAACATACCAGTGTAAATTACCAGCTAATCATTAAAGGTTATGTACAGAGACTACACTCCATTTGAAAGATGTGTGCATACATTGTAGCTCTATGGCTGCAGTTCAGCCACGGACTACCGGTAGGTATGGCATAGCCCCTTTAACATTGAATCATAGTTCCAATCACATAATTTAAGTAAATGCATTAGGCGAAGTAAAAAAAACAACATGTTTCTTGTCCCCGCCCGCTTCCTTTTTGGAGGCCGCCTGGATTTTTTTATTATTTTTTATTTTTGAAAAATGCAGTAAAAAAAACACCGAAAAAGTCCACAAATTCATCGGAAAATAAATTGTAGACCAATACAAGTCTAAATGACACTGTAAATATGTTCAGTTCTCTTGTCCAACTTATCTTTCATTTTAAAAGTGTCTTTGAACAGTGGAAACACCAACGGTTGCAGGAAATTTTTAAATGACGGCCATCTTGAAACAAATAAAAAACAAAAAAAAAAAAGCCCCGCTTCCTCCTTTTTTTCAAAAACCCGGACGAGAAACATGTTTTTTTTTTACTTGGCCTTACATGTAATTGAATGTATTCCAATTAGCGATGAAGAATTCTGAAATTGGCCATACCGGTACACTTTTTTAAGTGACATTCAAAGTTTTCTCTAAAATAGGATTTTTATGCCTGTCTGAAAATAAATTCCGTTTCTGCTATCGCTTTAAGCAACCATTTTTTTTTTATTGATTGGGAGATACCGGTACATATGTAAGGCTTGCAAGCCAGGTTTTTCTGTGAACAACTTATTCCAAAACAGAATTCATATTTTTGATAAACTTCACAAAGGGTGAATGATCAATTTTGCAAATATTTTTACGTGGAATTGAACTTATTGAAAGTGACAATACATCTGTATGAAAAAAAAATGGATGAAAGAGCATTGCATGGTACATTGATTTCAGTGATTGAAAAATGTAAAAAATTAAATTATTTCCTGAAAGTCATATTTTTTTCCATGCATTGTGAAGGGACAATAAATTGGATGAGTGAATTGACACTCAAGTTACAAGCTATCATAAACTTATCCTCTCAAAGGGCAATTGTTGGGAAAATCCCCCACGCAGTTGTTGCGGATGTGTCACAAAATAAAGGGAAAAAGTACTTCACCCCTATTCCTACTCTACTGTGTGGGCTTTTAATTGCATTCTCAGCCGAATGTCAGTACAAAGTCAGACAATGCTGTGCCAGTTACAGCCAATGCCATCAAGTATTCATAGAAACAAATCAGGAAAAATAGATCAAATTCATCGGTGAAACTTTTCTGAAATTTTTAAACTAAATGTAGTACATGTAGGCCTAACTGTACTACATGTAGTAGTACTAGCATATTTTAGTGGGCATATCACTTCTTTTGTAGTATTTTTTAGTATTGGTATCACACCCAAATACAAAATGCAGTAGTTTGTAGCATACATGTATATGGGGAAACAATTCCACAGATGGCCATCATTAATTTTTCCCTGCAATGACCCTTCAATCATCAGAAAGCGATAGCATGTCCTAAAAAGTCAAATTTAGCAGGGAAAATATTGAAGCATTTATTCAGGAATTTTTCAGACCAGTCTCATAGGGTTTGTGCACAGGGTGTCAAGTGATGGCCACCTGGGTATGGAATTCTTTCCCTTCTATAAATAGCGTGACAAGATTTCTGCTCATCAATGATCATACTCATTTTGGTTCAAATTGTTACATTAGTCGTTACAATTCTATCATGAATACATACCGTACATATATATACAAATTCTTACCAGCTGGAAAAAATGTGTTTAAGCGTGATCATCTGGTGGTGATATTCATGTATGCACAAATGTTGTTAGGCTACATTTCTGTCATTCTAAACACGGTGAAAACTCCATGGTCGGTAAAATAGGCATTAGAACTCAACCCATCAAACCCAACGGCATGTTGTTGGAATCTGTCAGGATGGGTACAGTACCCCTAAACTGACAGTCTTTTGGGGTTGGCACACCTCCAGAATCAAAGTCAGAAATATGTGCGGTTTCCCATGTGGTGTTAGAATTTGCCAGGATGGGTATGGTTCCTAGTATTAGTAAAATCATGCAGGGTTAATGGTATGATGCAGCACGCTAAAAATAACTGAGTAAAAATTAAAGATAAACCATACATCATATGTAAAGCAAGCAACACAACTTAGCCATAATAAAACTCAGATTCACATTTCAACATGTTAAAAAGATCCTTCGTTTGTGGTTTGTCATTGGCAAATAAACACGACATAGCCCAGCCCAAACCCGCAATAAGCATTGTGAAACTCGGTCACCACCTACACACGACCAGGTCGCCAGAGTTCGAGTCCAATGTCGACAAAAAAAAGGTCGGTGTGTCGCTTCGTCGTGTGGTGGGGCCTAAAAAGTGTACAGCCGGTCCCATACCCATACCTTCACTTCAGTAGTGCCGCCTTCCTGGACCACACGCTAAACCCTTGATGATGCAGCGGTCGTAGGCATCCACTGGCATGTCAGCTAGAGTCCCGTGAGGATGCATTTTGCTCCCTGTAGCTCCGGCCGACTAAACCTCCTGGTCTGAACGGGATAAAAGTTGCATTTCGTGCCCAGAACCTAGTCTAGCAACCCCGTGATTGTGGGCCGTTCTGCACGGACGGTGTACGCGTGTTGTTGGTTGGCTAGCTGGCAGTTCTATCTTCTTCGCATAGAGAGGGCGTTTTGGCCTCTAGAAAGCGCGTGATTGTGCTCCACACGGTGGCTCTCCCGTTGACGTTCAATCTTCACGCCCACTTGGGCTATAATAGGATAACGGGAGTAGCCCAAACGATTTATTTATAACTTTGACGATTCGGGGCATCATGAAAAATTATTGTTAGATGCCGGATCCGGAGCTAGCACTGAGCAATTATACTGGACAACTACAAAAAAGAACTTTTTTATTGCCGTAAACGGAAATAAGATCTAAAAATCTGCATGTTCAATCATTTGATTTGTGGCTTTTTAAAAACTAGGAGCCTTCACTGTTGTATTGCTGCTTCTTCCATTTGTTGGCCCGGGAAAGCGTCTATTTAAAACTACTTATTTCAAGGTCTTATTTCAAGACATCATGCCGGGGCGGGGGAAAGGGTGCAATTTTTTGTTCACAATTTTTCGCTCACAAATCTGTGATCTCAGAACAATTCGTTTAGCTCCATTATTATTTTTTTTAAGGTTTAGTGTTTAAAATAATGTTTAATTATATGAAAGCTTCCGTATTACTAAGCTTTTTGGCTTTTGAGCTAGTGCCAAAGTCGAAATGTCAATCCCCCGTTTTTGATTTCCATCTTTTTCAGGCTATATTTCAACTATCAAACTATCAGTTTCTAATCATTTGAAAAATAGTAATTTTATTGTCTAAGTTCAAATCATCCTTAGGCATAACACACTTGCGCAAAGGATGCTTTCCCTTCCATTATGTGATACTTTGTGGCCTCCAAATGACCCTGGAAAAGAGCTCCATAATTCGGCCCCCACTGGTCGCCTCCGTCCCCTAGAGAGAAAAAAAACGTTCAGCGATGGAAGACAGTCTGAGAGAGAGACGCCAACAAATTGAAGACTCCTGACTGACTACATGACAGACGCCCACTCGCTCCACTGTGCCCTACCTGCTCCGACTATTGCGATTATTGTTCAAATTTCAAATAAATTACTCCTGTTAAATGGCGGGTATAGAATTATAATATGGGCCATAAAATAGACGCTCTGGTAAATTGCTTTGGGACATGGAGGCTTTAAAAGAGTTGAGAATAAACTTTTATTTTGTTCATGTTTTATATCTCGTCATGTTTTACTTTTCAATTTTTTTCCGTGGGAGGGGGGGGGGGGAGGGGTAGTCTATATCGGAGACAGGGCTCCGTGGATAACGGGTGATACTCAGACTATGGGAGGGGGGTGTTAAGAAATCTAGCAGGACGATTTAAACCCTCTCTTCTTTAAAAAAAAAAAAACACGAAAAAATAAATACTGCCAAAAAAAATGTCACTGGAATAAAACATGTAAATTACAGTTAAATGCTCGTTGTTTATTCAATAACACATGAATGAAAACAAGCCACTCAAATTAAAAGGGTTACTAACAGCTAGGGGTCATTAAGTGCAATGTTGAAAATTATGCTGAGCATGTATATCTGGTTAGCAGGAAAATTAGCTGACGTTCAGCAAACCGTTATGTACTTTAGGAGAATTTTGACTAGTAATCAGTGAAACATACTAAGCCAGATTTCTCATCATGCTTACAAGTTTAAGAAATTAACCCCTACGCTAATAAAAATCTTAAGAATTCACTAATAAACCGGTTTAAAACTATATAGATTAGAAATAAGAATGAATTAGTCTATCTAGCAAAAGTATAAGTCAAAAGAAAATTAGTCTCGGGACAATTTTAAAACACCTCTATTTTTTTTCTCAAATTAATATTTTCAAGCCAGATATATATACAGCATTTAAATGCAATACTTTGCGTTAGTAGTTACAATTTACAACTCAAATCCGTTAACCACGAAATAATAAAAAATAAATAAAAAATGTATTCACAATTTTTTAATTCAAATTCAACAGTCTAATCTTAACAACATCGATATTGTTAACTTTCTGATTTGTTTCAGAATGACAAAGTTCCTTACCACAGACAACAGACACATTTTCGCTGATTTTACTTTGTTTCAAATGCACTTTCCAAGGGAAAATTGAGCTCAACAATTAACAGTACTAATTTACTTCGAAATTCTGACAATCCCATTTCGAATCATTAAGCAGAGCAGAACGCAAAATACTTCCAAAGGCAAGGTACAATGAAAACGCCTGTATTTCATTGTCACTTTGTTTGTTTTTTGTTTTGTTTTTGATAACTTTTAACAGTTACGCATGAACACACATCACAGATATATCATGAGATAGACTTCTGCCCAAATAAAAAATGAAAAAAATTAATAGGGGTCCTTGATATGTGACTTAAATACTTGAATTTAAAAAGAAAAAAACGGACCAATCGTTGAACCAATTTAAGCTTCAGTTCACTGCATTGAGTCGCTTCTTGGTCACCTAGCCCATTCCTTTTTCAAACATATTTTATAATAATATCATTGCACAAGTTTCATATTTCATACAAAATTGATTCCCACGGACACGTTTTAAATAAAAACAGGATAATAATCTGTATCTACATGTACAATATTAATAAACTGCTTATAAATTTAAGGTAGTTTCTATAATAATATGCATTGGTGATTATGACATATTTACTACTTTAAAGAGGGGGAAACGGAAAACTCGCTGTCATATAATAAAGCATCCTTTCAATTTTACTGTTTTTCATCATCTTTGGCCTACAGCAAGGTTTTGTTTTTGTTTGTTTAACACTTAACTCTGATTCTCCGGTTTAGATTAGATAAACTGTAGGAAAAAGAAAATCAGAACAAAACAGAAAAATAGTTTATTAAGTACCGTGGCTAAATCAATATATATGTACCTAAGTTAGTATGCTCACTAGACTACGGGGCAAATCATGCAAATGGCTCATTGAACAACAGCCTGGTACCAGACTGCTGACCTTTTCCCACATATAACTGTGGCGAATGACACTTGTAACCAGACCGTGTCACATGACTTCTACTACTTCTCTGATTGGGCAAGGCCTCAACGTCAGTCTACTGTCATTATTAAATCTGTGGTTGATGGAAAGTCAAACGTTGGCTCAGATTACGTATCAATTTCACATTTGACGTAATGGACGAGGGGGAAGACGTTCCATTTTAGCTGGCGCCTTGACATCTGACTGGTACTTTGCTCACAGGGGTTATGTTGCGCAGGTGGCTGGTAACCCAACACCTCAAAACCTGTAAGTCTGACAGGTGGTCAGTGCAGTCCATGTAACTTAGCCAAGAGCGTTGAGTTTCTTGAGAAATTCTTTGGCTTTAAACATGGAGCAATCGTTGAACTATAGTATGATTAAAAGTACAGGGTGACCCAAAAAAAAAAACGAAACCCAAATGTCGGACCATTGTTTTAGTGAAATCCTGCATGTAGCACTTTCAAAATCTAGGATATGAAAGCCCAATTCATGAGCTTTCTTCTAGTACAAGAATCATTCAAATCATTCATGTACTTTTCAAGTTACAGACTTTTAAACACAACCACCATTTTAAAGTTCTGTCCACGGATCACAAAAAAAGGGCGCGTTCTTTCAGCAAAACAAAAACAATTCACACACATCCTTATGTGATTTGTTTTCATTTTACTTAAAGAACACCTAACTTTTTTGTGATCCGTGGACAGAACCTTAAAACAGCGGTTGTGTTTAAAGTTCCGTAACTTGAAAAGTACATAAGTGATTTGAATGATTCTTGTACTAAAAGAAAGCTTATGAATTGGGCTTTCATATCCTAGATTTTTAAAGTGCTGCATGCAGAACTTCACTAAAACAATGGTCCCGACATTTGGGTTTCGTTTTTTTTTTACTCACCCTGTAGTGAACCTTATTCGTGCTACAGCCTACAAGTTTTAAATCCACTGTTGTTTACAGTAGACTGACAAAAGTGACCGTTTTAATACATGTACATATATGTAGATCCATTAAGCTCACACAGTTACTCAAGCTGGCAACAGCTCATGTGCCTCTCGAATGTCTAATCTGTATGTTCCAACCACAGTAGTGATTGGTCGAAACATTATGGGGGCGGGGCTAACTGTTCCAACCACAGCAGGGATTGGTCAAAATATCAAGGGGGTGTGGCTAACTGGACCAGATCTATGTCTAGTGGATCTTTACACTAAAGTAGCAGTTAGTACAAATAAGCATGTTTTAAAGGTACGTACGACCATTTCCTTTTTGTGCATTATTTTTTTTTTCGTTTGAAGCAAAACAATTGCTGAAAATCTTAACTAACGTGTTGAATTTTAGCTCAGTGGATACTCTACATTTTGAGAAAATGGAGAAAACATATGTTCATTTTTTACGTTCTCGTAACTGTATGTGCTAATGCACATAAAAAAAGAAGAAATGTGCCCAAGGGCACATTTTCTTTAACCACCTCCAATGATTGTTTTCTTCCGATTGATACCATTTTAGGCGGACTGATTTAGTCCTGTCTTCACTTGAGCAAGGATTTTCTTGTTAAATTGGTAGATGTACGTTTGCAGGAAATGGCAAATGTTTCTACGCGCCCTTAACTACTGTTTACCTCCGTTTTCCTCTTTTTTTTTTAAAATTTAGTCTGCCCACTTAGTAGTTGAAGTTGAAGCTAGTGACAAGAAGCATGTATTGGTCCTACTTTAAAATGTACATGTTTTATCCAGAAAATGTCACCTTTCCATTCAAATAGTGTCAATGTTACTTGTAGGATTAAACTTTAATTTTCAGACACCTGGCAGTTAATACTGATTTTCATCAATCATAAAAAAAAACCAAATTTGTGGAGAAATCAATTTGCAGACTAAAACATTGTCACATGGTCATATTTACAGAGACTGCACTATGTACAGGCATTGGTAGCAGCATGCAGGCAAGATTCTAGTTTAAAACATCAAATTTTGAAACTAACAGAACATGTTTTTTTTTAACAACATGAGCACAGACATACTGGCCACTAACATGGACAGAGATAGATAGGCAAATGGGCTGACGGACAGACAGGGGAGGACATAACGACAGGTAGATGCCTAGTCTTTTCCCAAGGCAGCATGGCACTTCTTCAGACAAGGCTTCACATGCTGCTTGAAACAGACTAGCTTTACTGCTGAATCACTATAACACTCAACAAACTTGCAGTTACGTAAGCATGCCCTTAGCTCGACTTGCAAAATAGTGATTGTTAGGGAATGATTTCATTTTATCCCACAAATTCTTCAATTTTTTAAGATGCGAAACTTATCAACTTAGTTTCATCAGCTCCGTGCATCAGCGGTTGAGGGCGGTCTTTGCTGTAAATCATCACTGTTCTTCAACTGGCCTTTCTTGTTGTCACGGTTTGAGCTGTCCTTAGCTCCGCCCATTTTTTCTGGGGTGTGCGGGGTGGGCGTGGCTTTACTCTGCGACCCCCGAGACCTGCCAGACGATCAGGTGACTCCTCTCGTTCCGAGCGGCGCGGGACGAGTTGGTCAGATCATCGCCGTAGTTGTTGCTGGCTGTGCTTTCATCCTCATCGTCTCCGTCACCTACAGATAAAACCAAAACCAAGAATGAGTCAACACTTCAAGAAGAAACCATGTTTAATTTTGAGTCGAGCGGAGAGATGTGACTGGAGCGGGATTTGAACCCGCGACCGCTGGAACCCTCTATGAACACTCAACTAACTAAGCGAAGGGCCCATTTCAACTCGTATCTGGGACGAGCTCCGGACAAGTTGCAGACATTGTATCGAGTATAGGTTGCACGATTTCAAACAACTTCCCTGTAATCTTCCTGCAATGAAGTTATCAGTATTGGTGAGTCAAGCAGTTGCTAATGAAAATATCCCCGGAAAACGTCCAGGACAAATGCAGAGCTTTTTCCGGACAAAGTGAATGATTCTACCAGCAACTTGTCCGGAAATTGTCCCGGATATGAACTGAGACGGGCCCTAACTGGCCCTATGTTGGACGTCCAATTTTTCCTTTTCCGTGTTCCTGGGTTGCTACTGGTAGTCTGAAGCAGTGAAACAGTGTTTCAAGAGACAACACCCACATTTAAGGTATTTGCTAAGTCAGTGATGCTCAGTACATTCAAACTTTGAATTTAATGTTCACACACCTGTAGTGTTTCAATTGATAGATACTCAGCTGACAATGGGTGCTGGAAAAAAATGGTATTGAACTTAAAGTCACCTTTCACTTTCATTTTCTCCACTGATGGTGTAGGTGTAAAGACAGCAAAAAGTGGAACAAGCAGCGTTATGTCAGTGGATGAAAACATCTGTTCATTTGTATACAAATTTTTTGTCGGCTGCTAAATGTTTCCGTTTCAGTACTTCAGACTGATCAACCATTTCGTTTGAAGAACAAAGAACTGGGAACTAGGTAAGGCAATGTACGACGTTCCCACATATTCACGACTGATACTGGACCATTCTGGATTTCGACATAAGACCTGCCCACCTTTTTTTGTGCATATCTCACAGTGCTTGTGACTGAGTTTGAACGAGTGACTCTAGTCACATGATCAAAAGTGATGACCTGATTGGTCAATGCACACTGTTTGATTGGTAGGCCTGAAAGGTCGTTACAGGGAATCTCTTGCGACTGACCTGCTCTGAAGTCGATGTATCCCTCCCCTCCACTCATGACCAACATGTTCTTGATTGCTCCTTTATCCATGGCGGTCTTGCTCTGGGCGACGTCCAACGCAGAACTGGAGTTGGATGTGGTCATGCCACCTGCTGTGCCTGCCGAACAAGAAGATTCTTGAATATTTTACTTTCTAAAACATGTTAGTGAAATTAAAAGTACATTCAAGGTAATATACAACAATTGCTTTTGCTCTAATATCCAGAAAAGGACGGATTTGGGGGTTTGTGTTTCATAGCAAATATTGTTCCTCTGACCTCTTCACAGTTTTGTGTTCATGGATGCCGGATTACACAAGGAAAAATGCTGCCCTGGCCTACACCAAGTTATGGGGAACTTTTGTTTTGTTAGGCAAATAAGGACCGAGTGATGGAGACTTTCTGCTGTACCCACAGCATTTTTGGTCCCCACAAATACCTCGTACAGACGAGTGTATGTTTCCACAACTATGGAACAAGACTTCACGTTCTTGCAGTCTGGTTCCCTGACCCGATGTTTCAGACGAAATGGAACAATTTATGGGCGTCAGGGAATTATCAGGTCAGGGAACCAGACTAGCTAGCTTGTACCCGTTCACAGATATGTAACATATCACAAACCAAATGTGCACTATTAAAATTTGGTCAATTGGCGGCAGTATTTGAAAAAAAGCAGTTTTCTTCCCACCAATGGTTCAGCCAAACCATTGATGGAAAATAATACAAAATTCCATTTTCCTTGAAAATGACGGCAAACCAGGTGCCATGATTTCCCAGATTTCTTGAGGCTATTATTCACTTACAGTCAAAGCTATTTTATAATAATTTGGTAGTTTCATTTTTTAATGTTTGCAAATAATATACATTACCTTTAAAATGCACTTGTAAATAAACCATTTTTCAAAACCTGGGAATAGCTTCGTGGTCCTGATGAGCACTCAGTGTTTGCTGAGCACGGTACAGTTAACTTGTAATAAAATTGAATGTTTATATTTCACGATTCATCAAATTGAGTGAGTAAGTATTTTTGGTGGAGAAGAGGAGGTGATTTCTTACCCGGTATGGCCACAAAGAATTTGACGGCATCCCTGTGCCCGTGGAAGGACAGTTGGGCCTGCGTGATGCTGCAGAACGGTATGACGTTACCGGGCCGGACATTGTCTGTCTTGCTGTCTGAGTAGACCCTGATTACACCGCCTGGCCGACTGCCGCCTGTTGGAGTAGGCTTAGTCGCTGGGTGACGGGAGAAAGGATTATCGATTTACAAACATTGTATAAATCATGACTTAGATTTTAAACTGATTGGAGTGCTGTAGAACTCATGATCTTAAGGGGAGTCCTGCAGGTTGTGGGTTCGAGTCCAGCCTGGGGTTGTGGTGCTTGTGTCTTTGGGCAAGACACTTTGCCACCTTTTCGTCTTATTTAATTAGTTTGTCTTATTGAACCAGGGTAGCCCCATCAGTTATCAGAGAACTGTTCTCGCTGCTCATAACCTTTCCCCACATCCCCACACAGGAGTAAATGGGTACCTGTGAGGGCAGAAATGGTCGAGTGTTTGATTTTAGCTGTTTGGGCCTATAGGGCATTATTGGGCTGTATACTCTCCCAGGAGCTGTTTAGAATAATTTCATTGGCCCAATGAGAGGTTATAATGTACCATGCCGTCAAAAACCCTTTGGTTGACATGTGTTATATATTTGGGAAGCTAATCATCCTTACTGGCAGCTGAGAAGCTGAATCGCGAAGGACGCGGCTACAACGTGGTCGAGCCAAAGGCAGCCTGCCACATCAGCCCATATATGACCACGGAACACAGCCTGAGATCGAAAGGAAGGCCCGGAGAAAAACCCTAGTGGCACAGGAGAGAACCTATGCACAACTCTACTCACATATGGCATGTGTGGTCCGTGGATGGAATTCGAACCAGGGACCACAGTGGTGAGAGGCGAGCGCTTTACGCATAAGCCACCCATGCACAAGCCACCAAATTGGGTATCTCACAAACCTCTGTCAGTTATACTTCTGAGTACAGAATAATTTCAGCAAAATTCTGTGACACATACAAATTAACAAACATAAAGACAGAGCAGTTGAGTTTATGAACCAACTTACTTTCTGTTAGCGGTATGGAGATGATGACACCGTTGCCGGTACCCACCCATAGCCGGTTGCAGGCTATCATCAGGGCAGTGGTGCGTACAAAGGAGAAACCCAGCTTTCCCGTGCCTGAAAACCAAAGACAAATACACTGTCAACAATTCATATTGATGTCAATCATTATCTTCATGCTTGTGTTCTTGGGCAAGACACTTTACCACAGTTGCCTCTCTAAACCCAGGAATATAAGTGGGTACCTGTGAGGGCAAAGCAAGATTGACCAGATCTCGAGCTTATGCAGAAAATGGTCTTATGACCTGATGAACAGGGTACTAATTGTGAAGTGCTTCGAGAGTTTGGTTTCAAGCGACGCACAAGCACATTTGTGACTTGTCATTACAAAATGAGCTTAAAGTCTGAATTTTTAAAAACGGTGATATTGATATATCTGGATTCTGCAGAACAAGAGCGTTTCAATGGTATACAACATTAAGGGGTGCTGAGCTCAGTAACGGAAATAGAGACCACCAACTTACTTGAAGTGGTAAAACCAATTCTTGAGAAAAAGACATTTAAAAATCTTGCAGTTGTGTTACAGTGAATGCACAGTCCAGTCAACAATACTAGATGAAATAGGTTTTAAATGCGTTTGACAGTACAAAAAAATGGAGAAAGGTAGTAAAGGACTTACAGATTAAGGGTCACCTCAAAACAAAAAATCAACTGACCCTTCACATTTTGGCTTTGCCCCACTGTACTGCAAAATGGCAATTTCCATAAGCTCATTTTGTGGCGAGAGGTCACATTTATGTTCTGCAAACCTCAACTTGACTCACCCAGCATTTTGCTGACATAAGGATCAACATCCACATCTTGGAGGTGTTGGTAGGTATGTGCATGATACAGACGCAGTGTGCTGTCTAGTCTGATGGACACCCACACTCCGTCGCCTTGCCAGGCTAGCTGTCGGACCTGGCTCTCCTTACGAGGGTGAGCGTCAAACGATCGCTGTCAAGATAGAAAATAAATCAAAGAAAACATACGTTACTTTGAGACAATTTTGATTAAGGACTTTTAGCCTTTGACTCAGAAGGATAACCTGTGAGAAAATCTGGCAGCATTGCCATGGTGGGGGTCACACTAAGTACCTCCAATTTTCCAGTGCAGAAGTCTTAACTACTTGACAACTATTTTGTTTAGGATGTCCTAGTATGTTCTAACTGGCATTGACGTCCGATTTGGAACACTGACTTCTGAATACTGGTAAGCAGGCATTGGCATTTGCAATTGACATCCATACGAACAAACTTGACCACACTGACGTTGATCATCTTTTATGCAAACGAGACTCGAGTGGGCTTAATATCAAAAGAGATAACAACCAAAAAACTTCTCTGGTATGACCTCAATGCCACGAAATAACATTAGAAATTACACTGCACAAAAACAATTCTCAAAAAGTAACTTTCTTGTTAGCGGCCGATATTTTTTTTTCAATTATGATATTTGAAGATTGATTTTACCTCGACTTTGAGCGTCTGTGGGTGTATGACGTGCACTTTGTTCCTGAGACCACACCAGATCCTGTCATACACAAGGACCATGCATCGTATGGAGTATTGAGGACGACCCAAGTCCAGTAGGTGATAGTTGTTCACGTCCCATTGACCGTCTATGGTGAGAAACAGCAAATGATTGTTTTTCAAGTTAAAGAAAGAAAACAGAGCGATTAAAAATGTATTCCTCGTGCTATTTTGAGTTGGGCCTTGGATGTCATGAATATCTGGGAGGGAACTGTCGGTCAGTTTGTCCTCCATACTGGATGGGTAGTTTGGGAAGTCATGATAGCTGGGACTTTACAAAAACAGTAATTTTATCAGAAATGGGAGGGAACTCTCAAATCAGTTCAATGGGTCGACTATTCCTGAACACAAGAGCACAGCACCGATGATGGGTGAATGCAGTTACAATTTGGGGAACATTCCAGATGTATTTTTAACTTGTGTCACAAATTTTTTTAATTTTTTGGGAATGGTTTCGAGTATCTGGTTTGCAAAATTCAAACCGGATAACAGAATTCAAACTGAATTTTAAAAAATCCGGATTTTAATATCAGCACTAGCCCAAAATCAGAACAGCAGTACAGTTTAATTTTTTTCATTAAAACAAAACATACAAATTGAAAATTTGTAGGGAGAAAAAAAAAAAATCTTTTTTTAAAAACACAGGGCACGCATCTCTTCGATCATTTGTAGACCTTTGGGAAATACCAAGATATCAGGATCTATGTTGGTTGGATCTATTTTCAGGGGCACTAGCAATTTTCCTGTTTTCCGTTACTCAAAGGTTACCTTTCTGCATACTTACCATATTGGAAACTATTCAACTATTATCCTACAGAGGGCAGCACACATGATTTATTGATATTTCAGGACTAATATTTCAAACATATGGCACTGTCCAAATTCAATAGAGGGCAGCAAACACAACTGTTTGACCTTACTGACCTGTTGATCTGTGGAAGACTGCTATCGTGCCGTTGGCCAGCGCTGCAAGAACACGGCCCTTGGTGTGCCTAGAAACGACAAAAACATAGAAAGTACAAATCTTCAATTTATAGTTGAGCAAAGCCAAGTGAATGAAGCAGGATTTCAACCCGGCAACTCCACCGTCCTATACCAGTGCTCTCACAAAATGAATTGCCTGCTCTCTGCGTTATATCACCAATCGAACCAAAAATTTCAAGGTTCCAAATAACAAAAACAAAAACTTCCAGGCTGCGAAAGGCAATTTTGACAGATGGTTTGACAAAAATTTTGAAAATTGTGATATACTTACACAATTGATAAGATTGAGTCCTTGAGTTTGATTGAGTGTAGACACCTCCTCCACTGAGAGACGGCCGAATGTACGTACAGACTGGATTAAAGAAAAAAACAAAAAGTGGGACAAGAATTACAGAATGCAACATGGGGTAATATACCACAGCATACAGAGCTCCTAGCCACACTGCTGGCTAGACACACACAAGAACCACATACTCACACAGCCCACGACAGATATGGTAACAAACATCCATCCCACACCCTCGTAAGACACCATGTTAAGCACACCATGACACACACACAGAGCTACACTGGGTGACAAACCCCCACATACCATCCATCCTACACCCCTGGGCTAACACAACTCTTAAAAGGAATGTACGTCATTGGATTTTGCTGTAATTTTCAGAAATGAATTATTTGTGGGGTTAGTATAATAGATCAAATATTGTTACACTGACATGTTTGAAGTTTTGTGTTCGAAACTGCTGGAAAAACCAAGAAAAACAAAAATGTTTAATTACTCTGGTTCCCTGACTCCACTAAAGATAAAATGGATCAATTTATAGATGCCGGAAAATTGTAAGGTACGGGAACCAGTCTTGCTGGCCTGCACCCGTTCATGAACATGTAACCAATAGCAAACAAAATTTGGACTGAAAAAAAAATGGTAAATTTGGAGCAGTAGTTGAAAAATAGTTAAGTTTTTTCCAACGGTGGTCGGCCGACCACTGTTGGAAATGTATACAAAACTACCATTTTCTTGAAAATGACTTCACACCAGGTGCCATAATTTTACAGGATGCTTTAGACTTTCATTTACCAACATCCTAGTAAGGTATTTCGTAAAAACTTGGTAGTTTTATTTTTCGATGTTTGCAAATGTTGTATACTCCCTTTAAGCACACAGTGGCATAGACACTGTGCCACACATAGTGACAGACCCCCACATACCATCCGTCCTGTCCTCCCATCCACATCGTCGGCTTGATGCTCGTCATCTTCTCAAACTCTTCATGCATGACGTCGTTTTCAGTCGGCGCGGCTGACAGGCCGTCCTTCAAGAGATCGCTGGCCCCAGCTGTGCTTGACCGGTGCCTCAGTATCTCCAACGGGATGGGGTCGTTGGTCACGCCCAGGGGGTCACCTGAATGCTCTGAAATACAATATGATTTATAGCATCATTATCCTAAGAATCATATGCCATACATTTTATTTATAGATTTTTAATAGCTATGAATGATTTGTAGCCGATAACATATCGTGTGTGTGTTGCTTGGGCACTTTGAGACTTGAAAGAAACTTAATATAGGTTTTCCCGGATATTTTAAAACATTTTTTATTCAAATTCACCAACTCTAACATTAAATTTCGTCCGAGGAAAATTTCACATGCTTTTAACGAAACCAATTTAGTCATTTACCATTCAATTTCAAAGTTTGGTCACCCTCTTTAGTCACCGGGTCGAGAATATTCATCATTACAGATCAAATTTGTCTAAGCTGTTGCCGAGTGACAGAATTCAGAGATAGAATTTGTCTCATATAAATCAATTAGACGAATTTGATTTCTGAATAACAAGGTTTGGCATAAACGAGACGAAATTGAATACTCCAGGACGAAAACGTGCATTCGTTGTTTGCATTCGTTTGAACTGAATTTGAAATTGTCTGATAAAAAGACGAAAATAAACATTGGAAGTGCACTAAATCGATATTAATCGACGAATTTAAATATTAGAAACGGTGAATTCGAATGATAAACATTTTAAAATAGCCGAGAAAACCTATACAATTTAGTCATCATGTTTTGTTCCTTCTAAATTTGTTTGTACAATACTTTTCTATCTACAAAATTGTTCTGGTCTCAAAGTGTTATAGTTTTATAAATTATGAATAAAACTGGGTTGAGAGGCCGTATATTTAATAAACTGCTGTAGGAATCTACAAACTAAGTGGGGCTTTTTCCTTGAGATTAGTATAAAGTTTTAGGAGAAATATCCCTAGACCACAAACATTTTTGGTCAAGGAAAGCATACTGTATATGGCATGTGTCGAAATGGGTAATTCATTCCCCGACACTTGAACAGACTGACCAGGATATTTTACAGCACAATAGTTGTATGACTCATTTAGACTAAAATTCAGTGCAACTCAAAATACATATTTGATGATCTGGTGTTCAGTATTGTCTTCATTAAGTTTTTTTCTTTGGGAGGGGGTTCTCAGGCTTAGACTCGGATTTGGTACCAGGAACCAGGATTTAACGTCTCGGGCCTTGAACACAAGTCTTTTGAAGTACCTGACTCTGTGCTCGAGGTAGAGTTTCCTCGGCCGAAGTGTTCGTCTCTGACGAGTCCCTCCATGCCGACGGTGTCTGCTGAGGGGGCCGTGGTGGCTGCCTTGGTGATAGATTGTTCCGCGTCCTCAACCGAGGAGATGTTGGAGAACTTGGCATCGCTGACCTCCGCTTTGAATTCAGTGCCTTCCTCTCCATGGGTGCCATCGCCTGTTGAATGTATACAGAGTTCTTAATAGTCATCGTTAATCACCAGTCAATCAAACATCTGTCATAAGACAACACATGTTATAACAAATCAATCACAAGTCAATCAAAGGTTATCATCAGTCATCATACATGTAAGTCATCTCAAGTCATCTGGAGTCAATCACTAGTCATCACAAGTCATCACAAATCATCACAAGACAATCACAAGTCATCACAAGACAATCACAAGTCAATCAAAGGTTATCATCAGTCATCATGCATGTAAGTCATCTCAAGTCATCTGGAGTCAATCACTAGTCATCACAAGTCATCACAAGTCATCACAAGTCAATCACAAGAAAATCACAAGACAATCACAAGTCAATCAAAGGTTATCATCAGTCACCACACATGTAATCATCTCAAGTCATCAGGAGTCAATCACAAGTCATCACAGGACAATCACAAGTCATCACAAGACAATCACAAGACAATCACAAGTCATCACAAGTCAATCACAAGACAATCACAAGTCAATCAAAGGTTATCATCAGTCATCATACATGTAAGTCATCTCAAGTCATCTGGAGTCAATCACTAGTCATCACAAGTCATCACAAATCATCACAAGACAATCACAAGTCAATCAAAGGTTATCATCAGTCACCACACATGTAATCATCTCAAGTCATCAGGAGTCAATCACAAGTCATCACAAGACAATCACAAGTCATCACAAGACAATCACAAGTCATCACAAGACAATCACAAGTCATCACAAGTCAATCACAAGACAATCACAAGACAATCAAAGGTTATCATCAGTCATCATACATGTAAGTTATCTCAAGTCATCTGGAGCCAATCACTAGTCATCTGGAGTCAATCACTAGTAATCACAAGTCATCACAAGACAATCACAAGTCATCACAAGACAATCACAAGTCATCACAAGACAATCACAAGTCAATCAAAGCAATATCCCCCTGTCTGGCTTGAAAGCCAGGGGGATAAAAAGCTTCAAGAAATTTTTTACCCTTTTCAGATGACGGCGTTGCGCTCCTGGGCGTGACGGGAACACTGACTGTCACCAATGTGATGTTACCGAAACCGCTGTCGCTGCCGTTACTAGTGACCGAGTTGACAGACGCCGTGTCATCGGCCGCTTCTATGTCCTCGGAAGGATAGTCACTCTCCATCGCTCCTGTTTACAAAAAGACAATAAATCAGATCTTCAACGCTCAGACTCTCTCATGACTGAACGTCTAAACTTATTGAGATTAGCAGATGGAAAATAAATAATAAAAAAAATATAGTACTGGATTCAGCTTTTGAAAGAAAATATCTAGGAGGCTTAACAATTTGTTGCAATCTGATTAATCATTAAGAACCCATTTTTAGTAATTTTGTTTACAAAAAAAAGCAAATTTTTGAAAAAAATTCAACAAATGACCTAAAATAAATTTTTAAAAACCCTTGACAAGATGTCATCTAGAGTAAGAAGCGCAAATTCTTGTGAATTCTTCATTGTCTTCTCTCCAAAGATTTCTTTGCCCTGTTGAGCTTTGGGAACTTTTTCTTTTAGGATTGCTTGGTTTTCTTATTCAAATAAATGACGAAAAAAAATATTGAGGCTTTTTTGTACCTGGGACACTAGCAATGCAGAGAATGTGTGGGTTCTTGACAGGGAAAGCGTCCAGCAGGACCTGGGGCTGATTGGCGTCGATCACCGTCACTTTACTCATGTCTTTGGTTGTGGAGCATATCCAGACTAGGGAGGACAGCTGGCTCTTCTTGCTGTCGCAGATCGCTTTCTGTTGTTGCTGGGAAACAAAAAAATATAAAAAAAAAAATAAATAAAAGAAAATAAAAGACTTCGGAGCATTTTTTCTTCCTTACAAGTGCAGACTTCATGGCTGAAGATAATCGCGCTCCCAGAAACACCGGGGCGAACCCTTCTCTTAGCGATAAGTGTATTGGGTTCTTTAACCCTTACCCTACTAGACCCTCCAACGCATGCCAATGTGTGCCTCAAGAAAATCTCCTATGTTTTTTGCATGGCCCTCCAATATCTGCCATGTCATTTCAAGGGTAACTGGACAGGCACTCCAATACATGCCACAGAGAACAATGAGAGTCCTCTGATAACAAAGTGAGTGCCCCCAGCTGGTCAGTATCAGGCACCCTCCAGGGCCTCCAACTCCTGCCAATTGGAGCCTTCACTGCTAAGACTTGTTATCTGCCAAATAACTGCAGCTGGAGGGCATTGGCATAACCAACTGACATGCAGTAAACTACCCTCAGAGAGTAAGGGTTAACGTGTATTATGGAACACTCGGGACCTACGGCTTTACGTCCCATCCGAAGGACGATGCATAATGGTTAAGTGCCTTGCTTAAGGGCACAAGTGTCTGCCTGGGCTCGAATCCACGCCACTGTTGCCTCTGAAACACCAGAGCATGAGTCCGGTGTTCTTAACCGCTAGGCCATGACACTCCACTAGGCCAGGACACTCCAATTTTTGACCACTGAAAGTGTAGGGAGTGTTTTTTTTAAAGAATTTGAAGTGAAAATGAAAGCTCAATGTCTGAAATCTTTTGGCAAGTATAAATGGCAACTTGAAATTGGAATGAATATAATGACAACTTGGATAATTTGAGCAATTCACAGTGCAGTGCGCCACCACGAGTTTGCCATGGAGAGTCCATTATTGAAGTTTACGGTCGACAAAACATAGCCCATTTGAAAGAGTGTCATTACACAACTTGAGCTAATTTGTTATAGATTGGGGCATAGCGTTCTGCCGCCTTACAAAAAACACCATATTGATAAAAAGAAAAGAAATGGGCAAACATATACTCAAATCATACGCTTACGAAACTACTGACCAGAAAATCGAACAATTTCAAATGTCCTGCACTGCGAACTTGTCGACCGTCTCCCACAATGCACTGGGAAAAATGAACTCTCTATAGCAAACTCTTGGTGGCGCACTTCATTGTGAATCACCCGAATTACATTCAGACATGAGCCTAATGGCTTTTGTTCAACTTAGAATTATATATGATATTAATTTCTTATTGTAAATGGATCTTGACTCACTGTGATTTCGTCATCCAGTCTGTTCAGCTCCGAGTCCGATCTCTCCTTCCTGATTGGCTGGTCCGGGGCACTGTTGGAGTAGAACACACTGGCCCCAACTATGGAACCACCGTCCCTGGTACGACCGCCTGTCAGATTCACCCCTGCTGCACACCAGATCTGGGATAATAGGAAAAAGAAAAAGGTTTCAACGATCAAGTCTCACAAACTGGTTGCAACCTTGCCTAGTAGAAGAGGAAATCAAACCAAATTACAAATTAGCCCCAGGTTTCCCAAAGTTGGATCCTTAAGCCACCCACAGATCAACCTTGCGATGACACAGAACTGTCAGCGACTGACTTTTCAAGGATCAAGCTGCGTCTGAGCTACGACTTTCAGGAACATATCAGTTGCCAATTTAATTTTTGTGTGACCTTAGCGTAACTGCGACGACATTAAGACAAACAGCATCAGTGGAGGCTAAAGAAAATTAACAGTCGCAAAGAAGAAAAATTTCAACTTCTGCCCCGCTCCAGAACGTGTTTCTGACAGGTAAGAATCAATCACAGTCGCCCTGTGTGAAGTAATGATGTCATGTGCGTATCTGGATCATCTAATGTTATTGTGAATTGTCATCACGTCGTGGGTGACGTTAGCATGGTCGTGATCATTCTGTGTTTGAGATGCCGCTTGTTCCACGATAATGTCACGATTTCTCAATTTTGTGACCTGAGCATGCTTGATGCCGACGGTTCCTTCGCAGCGCAAGCAAATCACAGGTCGACCTGAGAACGGCTTTAGGTAGGCTGACTCTAACATTAATCTTACATTACAGAAGAGGATAGGAAATGTCTTAAGGAGCCCCTCTCACATGTAGCCCAAACGGACCTCTTCCACTAACCTTTGTTCCTGGTTCTTTCTCTGTCAGTGGTCGACAGAACACCGGGACAGGTACCCCTAACAGGCTCCCTGTCTGTTGAGCAGGGCCCTTGGGTGGGCTAGGCAGCTTAGCCGGCAGGCTCCATCCGTAGGCTTGCACTCGGCCGTCGTCCTGCCGTACATGGGCCTTGACTTTCTTATACTGCTCTCGTTTGTCCTTGTTGCTCCGTGGGTCACTGTGGGACGATGCGGCAATATTTTTGATGTAACAATGAACAACGAACAAAGAAACTGACTTGAGTGGGATTTGGACCTCTGACCACCAGAATGTGGCAAGATGTTCTACAGATTGAAATTCCCAGCTTTGTGTCGGCAATATCCTAATTTGTTATTGTCACTTTGTTCATGAGATGCAAGAGACAAGCCGGAACAGTGATGTATGTTTAAGAAAAATACTTAGACTACATTTTGAAAGAGCACTGTGGCTGATTTAATTAAAACAACTCCAGTTCAGCTCAATGGAGCATTTATTTTCATATTTTCAAAAAATGTGATACAAAGGAAATATTAATAAATGAATATAGTAATATATAACAGAAGGCATGGAGGCAATTGCAAGAAGCTGACGCTTGTGCAGATTTGCCAAACAGGACAGGGGAAGCGAAAAAACAAACAACAACAACAACAACAACAACAACTGGAAGAAGACAATGCCGCTTATGAATTTGGCATTATAATATTGCACAAATTATGAACAAGTGAATTACTGGGTCCCTTCACTTCTTGTTAGGCAACTCTTTTCTTGTTTAGCGCCCTCGTTTGTTCATGCACTGAGCGTTTATACAGCGGTTTGTGGTTTAAGTATTCGAGGTTTAACACTCACCCGTCCTCAAGGAACTCGAATGCCCGTGTTCTGTTGTCCAGGGAGGCGATGGTCTGGCTGCGCTGTTTGCCGGACGGAGTGACGCTGGACGTCGGGGCGTTGTAGCGGATGTTGCCGTGATGGGGGCTGGGTCTTCTCTGTGGAGCCGCCGGGGTAGTGCTGAACAGGTTGCTGAAACTGGGGAAAGGAAAAACAATTGGCAATGAAAAATCAGATGACTGAATTGCTGAAAGGTTTTTGTAATGATTCCTAATTTGTGACTGCATGTTATAATATGGGATTGAAAATCATCCGCAATGAAAAATCAAAAGTTTTGAATTGCAGAAAAATATTTTTAATGATTTCCAAATTGTCGTTGCATGTTATACCAGGGTTTGTAGCTTATAAATAAACAACAACACATCAAATGAAATATCAAGACTTACAACTTCCAGATTGTCGACTTGTTCTTCTTGCCTTCAAAGGATGGGTGCTCCCTGGAAGCTCTGCAAAGAATTTAACCACAAAAGGTATATTTTTTGATACTATTAAATTCTTGCAAGTAAAAGATTTTGGGGCTAGCTTTCCAAAGGCTCAAAGAATGGAGCGTCCTGAACAATAAAGAAACACACCCACAGGGGCACAAAAATATGTGATGCGATCAAGCTACATGAGTCGTTTGTCGGGAATTTTCATTTGGAGATACAAGCCAAAATAGGGCCGCTTCATCACATCACTTCATCACATCCCTTGGTGTTCTGACTTCCATAATTTTTTAACTAAAGATGGTATCAGCATGCGGTTTTCACAGCAGTAATGCTGAGATTGTGCTCTATTCAAATCTGTAATAAAAAAAAAACTAACCGGGGGCGACAAACGACTCATTTAGCTTGATCGCATCACATATGATGTCCTACTTCTGTAGGCCAAAGAAGGGGGAGGGGAGGGGGGACAAAAGGGGGGGGGGAGGGGGGACAAAAGGGGGGGAGGGGGACAAAAGGGGAGGCTAGTTTAGTGGAGAGGAGCGGGTGTTGGGGTTGGTTTTACAACCCTATCTCATTTTCAGTACACCGTGCTGTCTTTCGTACCTCTAGTTGGGTGTGGCGGCAGGGTGGGCAAAGAAAAGGAAGGGGGAGGAAGGAGTTCAGGGATCGGTTTCACGGAGGTGGTGTATGAGGTAGGGCGAGGTTCACATCCCTACCTGATCATTTCCGTCCACCGTACTGCCTCCTGTAGTTCCATCAATCGTTCCTTGTATTGATTCCTCTCCATCAGGACTCTGGCCATCTCGACGCGGGTGAAGCGTTTCCGCTGAGCCATGGGCACCCCCTCGTCCTCGTCCACAGCGGCGACTTTGTCATTCTCCTCTCTCAGTCTGAGGTACACATAAATAACAAAACAGCAAAACAGATTTAGACCAGCCAGCGATAATCTATGATGTCGTCTCGACATTCAGCATGAATGTTTTTAATATCTCCACATAAATAAGAGCAAGTCTGAGTAATAACTTGAGTTCGCAACAAGTCCCCAGTCCCTTCGACATACCCAAAGGGATCCTCCCTTTACAGTCTTATTGGACTTACTTCTTGATTTCCTCTTCCAGCTCAGTGATTCGCAGACTCAGTCTTCCTTTGGTGGTCTTGACACCATTAATCTCCTGGCGCTGGACTTCTATCTCAGACTTGAGCTCGTCCACCGTAGCAATCAAGTCATCCTTGACTACGTTCAGAGCATTCCTAAAAAAAAAAAATCAGAAATAAATTATTGGATTCAGGGATGCATTCCTCACCTTCCAACTCTGTGACTGGGGTTCCAATCCCACCCAGGCAATCATGTGGACTGGGTTTTCACTCCCCGACTGTTTTCTGATTGACCGGGAGTGGGGTTAGGGTTTAGGACTCATGATCAGAGAGTCAGGGGTTCAAATCCACCCGCTTGCCATCATGTTGTGTCCTTGGGAAAGATACTTTACTCCCACTTGCTTCTCTCCATTCAGGAGTACATTTGGCTACTGAAGAGTATCCTGCAATGAACTTGCATCCTTCGAATAGTGGGCCTGTCTCTTGAATATGAATAATAACCATGAAGCTGCATAATGTTTACTAATGTTATGAATAATTATGAACCCCGAATAATGTTTACTAATGATGTCAGAGTTCATCAGGAGACTCACTTTGTTGCCCGGAGCTCGGAGTTTTCCAACAGGATGTTTTCCACTTCCTTCCCCATACCTAGACAAACCAAACCAATATTTGCATGAATCTCAGCTGCTGTAGAGCAAACCTCGATTGCAAATTATTCAAATCATGACACAACAAGCTGTACAAATAAATAGGGGTCCAGGAGGTTCACTAGCACATGATGGGGTTGAATGAAAGTCATCTCACGAGAAAAACAAAGTAAAGCGTAATTAATATGGACAGGGAAAAACAAATGTTTGCCTACGGGTTCATTTAAAATTCTACCAGCACTGGCAAAATTACTTACATATTGCTCTCTCTGGTTAGAATGTTCTCAAATCACAAATAGATACAAGACAGTTGCAAAAACTTTGCAAACAGAATCACAGGATTTCACCGACATTGTTTTGGCTTATAAAACACACATACACACACCCATGTTTGTTTTACATACGCTATGTGGACATTCCTTTGTTTTCGTGTAGTTAAGAAAACTCAGTACAAAAAATAACTTTACTTAAACTGTGAAAACTCTTTCAACCCCAAATTTGTTTTTTGATTTTCTAGGCTGTTTCTCTTCATTATGCGACGGATAACCCTAACCCGAAAAAGCCTCTAAACGCGTTTTCCAGAGAGGGCGAAACGTTATGTGGACACGGCTTAGTCCACATAACGTCAACATAACCTGCATTATGTGGACATCTTTTGTTCACATGTCCACATAGTGACTGTAAGACAAACTCACGCACACACACAAACTGGCTACGTACATGTACACTGTAGTTCAAAATATAGAACATTTACAAGGTAACACTCCTCCACTGACCATCAGAATTAAAACAGATATCCATTTGACTACTTATAGTTATACATGATGCACATTGCAGTGTATATGGTCACACATTCACTTTAATGTGGACAGGAAAGCACTTGTACGGAAGAACTACATACAGAAATGTACATACAGAGTAGGATCAATAAATATTTGGACTGCATTATTTTCGTTTTACATGTAAAGTGGCCTGACCTAACACAGAGGACCACAATGCTAATGCTTCCTACTGCTCAATGTGTGTTTCTCTTTTTTCCCCTTCAAAATCATGGGTTCTGCTTGCAAAATATTTTCAGTCAAAACACTCCTTTGCTGTTTCTGTTCGGAACTGGAAATGCCATGAGTTGTGGTTTTAGAAATAATTTTTTTTTTTTAAGGAAATGGGTTGATCAAATGAAAATAAAGCAGAAAAAAAAATTTGTTTCACTTGGAGTGAGTATAATTGTTTCTTTCCTGTACGAATAATTAAAGTTGGTTTTTTTATGAAGGCAGAATTCTGTTTGTTTAACGAAATTAAACATGGACTATTCGGGAATATTTGATGAACTTTTATGATCATGGGTGTTGGACTGTAGTTGATATTTCCTGTTGCCTTTTGTTACCGAGTTCTAGATTTCTTTGCGGTTACTGTTTCTTTCACATTTATTCCAAAAGGAAATGACGAAAATACACCAAAATGAAAAAAGGAATGAAAACAAGTTGATAGGAAGCTAGTCAGTTCATCTAAGCTAGTCAGTTCATCTATGAATGTACACTGTACTGCACATATCCACACATATATTTAAGCAATATTTGTTGTTGTTGCAAATTCTACTTTTTTAATTCTTCGAGTCGAGGCCGATTTTGTGGTGTTAAGTTTTTGTTAAATTCACAGCATGCACTGTCCACAAACACAAGACACTTGAACGCATCGGCGTTCCTCCGAGGTCTTACCGTAGAAATTATCTGGCGACATGACTGTTAATATATATAGAGGATGATGCGGCGGTTAAAGGTGGAAACGGGCGAGTGGGGAGAGAAAGAGCACAGCAAAATGCATGGTTAGATTTTTAAAAAAAGTGAATTCATTCGTCATTCAAGTTTCATCCAAGTAGGGCGAGTCTGAATTACTTGGCTACGGCTAGATATTACACACGAGTCTATGCGAAGTGGCTGCAGCCACTACCATAGACTTGTGTGTTAATTCTAGCCGTAGCCCAGCAATTCGGACGCGGCTTAGCACTGCTGAGTGACACTACATAGTGAAGTCTGGTACCCACCCATCTCCAAGCCCATTTTCGTGTGTGCTGGTCCCAGAGGGGCCAGACTAGTGTTCCTCACTAACTGACTGACCGACTGACTCACAGTCAATTGTGAGCTAGGCAGTTCTATCTGAAGTTCAAGATTGCCTAAATTTCTCAAAGATAATTACTACAAAAACGTTGTGCTAATGTCTTCAAAAATGTGGTCTTTCATCCTGTTAAATGCAAACCATACTTTTCAATCAACCCCCCTTCCACCACAGTGCAATCATGCAAAGAGCACATGCGGAATGTGAAACAGTCCAAGTTTACCGACTACTGTGCAATGTGTATGCACCGTGTGTGCATGTTGTTCCATGCATTACCATGCTTGCACTGTGCCTAACCAATTCAGGAAAAAAAGTCCCAAATTACCGATACTTCATGTACTGCAGATCAGTTGTGTTTAGAACCTTGTGAAGTGATTAAGAATACCACCCAGTAACATTTTGACAATTTGTCAAAGAAATTGTTAAAACCCTGAGGAGTCCTTTTAAAATGTAGGAAACACCGACTGAAATACACGTACAAATGTATGTCTGAAAAAATTCAGACACATATTTTAAAACCCAACCACCTTTTTACCAGACCCGCTACCGACAAGGTCCAAATCATGCTATCTTCATGGGCAATCCAGCAATAAAATATGTGACCAGGCAAGTCACATCTATAATCACCTCATCATATATCATTAGCAATGTGACAGGCATTAGCTTTTTTTTTTAGATACATGTTTGGCGGACATGACAGGACGACATTATTTTGAGTGGGTAAAATCTTTTCTATTCACCCAAACTACTCATTTGAAATAGCACCCTCCTTTTTTGTCCGCCGCACAGAAAGGCCACTGTTAACGTTAAAATGAGCAAAAAGCAAAACACCCACATTGAATTAATTTCTTTCCAAGCAATAATCGAGGAACATTCATTCAAGATGGAATTATTTTTTTCAATTTTTTCTCTTCAAATTTCCCCTGAGGACCACCAAAATATCATCATCTTCCAGTACACTGCAGAAACCTCCTCTGGAGTATACTCGCACGCAATATTGAACCGATAATACATTTTACATGCTGACCCCTTCAAGCTCCACAGAAAGAAAGGTTTCAAAACAAAATTAGGAAGGTTTCAGACCCAAAACCATCTCAAATGAAAAGTCCGAGTGACAGAACCCAGAACCCAACAGGGAGTGCATGAAAACATCAGGGTTAAAAGCAAGAACAGACAGAAGAGGGAATTACCATCAAAACCATAGGATACATCACTTTCCTCACTATCATCTTCATGTGGTAAAATAGGATTTAAAAAAATACAACAACAAAAATGAAAAGAAAGGACATATATGGAGTAATTTTTACAAGAACTGAAAATGTGTTGGATTTTGTGAGAACTATGTTACATGTACAACAAAACAAATTATATTGAAACTAAACGAAATGTTGCAAAACAAACCCACAAATTTTTGTTACAGAAATAACAAAAATCAAACATGAGAAAGATTTTGATTTCAAATTGGTTCCCAGTTCCTTACATAGTTCCACAATATTTTCACATTCACTTTTGAGATCACTTCAGTGTCATGCACTAAAAAAAGTTCAAATATCTCAGATTACAAACTAAGAAAATTTCAAGAAATGTCCGAAATTGATGGCTATGTTTGATGTTGTATTATCCAGACAAAACTGTACAATTACAGTACATTCAAACAACAAATAAAGGAAGTTAAAAACGCAACTTAATCCCACAAAAAGTACAAAAAATGTATAAACCCCCCCTCAAAAAAATTACAGCCATGGCAAACTTTGGACACTAGAGGGCAGTAGACAGTAAAAATGTCCAATATGTTAGGCCAAGTTCGGGCAAGGACCATTAGTCGACTAGTGGTTGATTTGTGACGTACCGTACGCCTGCGCACTGATAGCAACGTGCGAACGTCTCCAGTCAAAGGCTGGTCAAAATGTCATCGCAAAACTTCTGGATCCTGGCTCTCTGCTAGCGTTATGAATGCGCACGGCTATTGGTTACCAGCGATGCAACCAGCCCCAGTAGGCTGGTTCCAAATAGTCGACTAGTGTAGTCAACCACCGTCGACTAGACAGAGTTCGGGCAAACGTTAGTTAACCATTGGTCAACTATAGTCCTTGCGCGAACTTGGCCTTAGCTGTTATTACATTTCCAATTATATGAGTATCATTAGTTGTGTTAGTATACATACCCGAGAACTCTGATGGATCCACTGCGTTTTGAAAGGCATGCATGGAATCAGTAGAGAGTTTGAATTGTGTGAGCAGATAGTCTTCAACGGCTATATGCAGGGTTAGACAACCAACAACCAAGACATTCAGACAATGGAAATGGCAAATATTAACTATGGCTATGTCTGAAACAGGTATACATGTATTCACTGGAGTTAATCAACAAAAAATCTTAAAGCCACAGCCACTAAATACCCAATTCATAGGCCGTGTCCGAATTACTTGGCGACGGCTTGAAATTACACCTGGGTCTATGGTAGCGGCTGCAGCCACTTCACATAGACTCGTGTGTAATTTCAAGCCGTAGCCAAGTAACTCCACTGAGGCTTGTCTGGCAGCCATCTTGTCTTGTTTCCTTTTCACTGATTGGGCAAAGGCTTTGACTAGGGGGCAAGCTAGTCTACTGACCATTGAGTAAGAATTTGATGCGAAGACAAAACAATTTCAGAGTTGAGAAAAAGTTTTCCTAAAAACGTTGCATTTGAATACCACACAAGTAGACAAACTTTACTTCAAGATGGCTGCCATTTTGAAATGTTTTGGCCAATAAACTGAGTGCTTTATACTTATTTATTTATGTAAACACATATAACCTTGTTTTTCACATTTATTCAACAACGGTTGAAAATGGTAGATATCAAGTATCGTTTCCATTAGAATTAGTAAGCGAAAAGTGAAAGTGACAATTAGTATGATCAATCAGTAAAAGAATATGAACAGGTTACGAACAGGAAAAAGGAAAAACAGAAAGATCAAGTCATCCAAAATGCAATTGGATTCTTTGAAACGATGCACACAATGCAAATAATGACGTTTCATCCCTGAACACTTGAATCAACTCTTCGGAAATCAGGTTCTCTCTTTTACGAAACTCAGGGTTGAATGCTGGTTCCTCGTGTAAGATTTCAGTGTGAAATGAATCGGATATGTGCGACGGAGTCTTGGTGTTACCTGTAATGCTTGCTCCTTCGTCCATCTCCGTAATCAACGATGGATCCAGCTCGTCAAAAATTGTAGAGTAACTCTCCCTGTAACCAAGAATGAAAATGGAGAATTCTGTAATAGATAGGCTTGGGACGGTATTGCATTTACTATACCGTGGTATACCGTGACAAAAAAAACGCGGTATTCACTAAAACCGCGGTATTATGTTAAGTGGGGTATTAGTTACGTCATTATCAGAAGAAAAAATAACTAACCACCAGGCACCATGTGCCGAGTTGATAAGCCGCCGGCGCAGCATAAATCACGCAAATGCTTCACGCCGCAAATCTCCTACACTAAAAGTGTCTTGGTTTCATTATCAGTCCATTTGTTTGTAAAAACAATATATCATTGTAACAGATTATAAACACGGGAAGCTTACTTTTTGTGGTATTGCATTTTCGAATTTGTAAGTCACTGACTTGACAAGGTCCACTAAAAAATAATGCAGATCGTCGACCGATGCCAGCGCCAGAGGCCGACCACGCGACGATCCCCAGATCCTAGCGAACGTATGCTTTTCAGTTGGTGTCCATTGTGAGTGATTCAAAAGGCTCATGCAATTTATGCCGGCCACCAGCGACTCCTTACGTGCTTCGCCGGTGTCATGTGAAAACCGGACTCCTATAAAAAATATCGTACTCCTTCTCACGTGATCGTTCCGTGATTGATAATAGTAAACATCACAATGTTACGCATGCGCAATTGTGGACGCTGAAATATGAAGTTGTCGGTGCCGCGACCTTCATAACGAACGGACCAATCATTCCAAAACATGAATGGAAAATGTTTCGAGCGCCGTTTTAGATGGCCAATCAGCTTGATCTACACAGTGCGTGGGAAAAAGCACGTGCAATTGTGCTTGTGGGCCCAGCAGGACGGGCGTAGCTTTAAGTGTGATCGTGCGGGCATTACGGGGGGTTTTCCCACGGTGAGAAATCATGGCTCTTGTATTACGCTTTCTTTTGGAGTATTTTCTTTTCAGGATTTTTATCTGGACGACTCGGCATATTCAGGCGATGAATAACTAACGGACCAATCAAACCAAAACATGAATGAAAAAATTGTTCCGAGCGTGGATTTAGATGGCCAATCAGATTCTTTTAAAAGGGTGTTTGACCATTTTTCATCTCACCATCGTCTCGGTAAAACCTTCCAAAAAAGGCGAGTGGGTGGGGAAAAGCACGTGTTCCAACTCTCTGTGCGGAACCAGTGTGGGACCACGTGTATGCGTATCATGCACTGGCATGTACGGCCACGCACATGACGTGGGGAATTTCGTAAACACTAAAGTGTACGCTTCCAGATCGTACAAGAGTTTTTACCCACGATGAGAAATCATTCGTTGGAATATGTTCTTTTCTTAATTTTCCCGGACGGTTCACACTCGCTGCATCGTATATTCAGACGAGTCCAGATTTTTTCTCCTTTTGGGCGTCGGTGCCGACACTGCTTGATTGTACATTTATTCCCAAGGCCCATGATGAGACATCATGATGGCTTTGATATTGCGCTTTCCTTGAAATATTTTTTTTTCTCATTTTCCCCGGATCGGACGGCTCAGCATCGCATGTGAATCCAGACGTCCCTTCCCTTTGCACGTGCATCTCGCACGCACATAGCACTAGACTGAAGCCTGCAAATTTTGGCGGTCATATAACCAAGATTGACACGGTTTTTTTTCTTGTTGCTAATATTCTTGGGAACTATGTTGTGGCAAAAATTACGCATGATGATAAGACGACCAGTTTTTATCACGACCGTCAAAAGATTCCCACGTGTAAAACATTGTTTGAACTTTCAGCGGAGACACTTTACACACAAAGAAAACCACAAACACCGCGGCGTTAGCAGAACTTCAAAGGCCTTTGTGGTATTGCAGCTGCCGAAGTATCAGGTTTTCTAGTCGAGCTTGACAATTGTGTTCAATCTGTCAACGGTAATTGACAATGCGGACATGAAACTGGATGCCTGAAACCACAAAGAATGAAATCAAACATGTCAAAGAGGTTGCTTGTCTTTCTGTTTGAAAGGCTTTTGCGAAGATTCTGAACACTAAGGAGGATTACCGCGGTATTGAAATTCCATACCGAGTTCACCGGTGTTTCGGTATTCATGAATCATTAGTCGGTGTAAGTCGGTTATTAAAAAAAACCTTGACTATCCGGTAATACCGAAATACCGTCCAAGCCTAGTAATAGACCATTATCATGTTGCGGCCATCTTGATTTATTCCTATTCAACAATGTAACCAAAGCGAGGCTGGATGGAAAAAATAGTCTGGTTCCTTTTTGCACAAAAAAAACATTATCATTCAGTACTGTTACTGGATACAGGGAACATGACTGAAATGGTAGCAGCATGACAAAGTTCTATTGCGAGTTCTAAGCCGTGTTCTGCTTTCCACATATTATTTGCCGAGTAACAGTCAAAGGTGTAACCCGAGTACAGTCTGCAAACGGCACTGGTGGGGGGGGGGGGGGGGGAGGGGTTACTCTTTTTCAGGACTGGGGGGGGTACTCAATGGCATAAGTATTAAAAAATAAATTATTGTCCTCCCCAAATTCTGAGGGGGGGGGGGGGGGACCACACACGAAATGGGAGGGGCACACAAGGGGGGGGGGGGTTTAACAGTTTCTGTTTTTCAGCTACAGCAAAACTTTAACCAATCGGTCCCCACACCGCCCAAAACTGCCTTGCCCAAGTACTGTATGCTTTTCAAGATTCTTTCGGAAAAAAATAATACAACATGAGTTAAAGGAAGCTCAATAAAATGAGGCCCCTAGCGTTTTCTTTTTAAAGATAGACACACTTTGAAGTTTTCGGCACATTGATGCGATATTTACCCTTGACTGCCGGCTATGTTAATTCTCTTTGCCCTCTTGTCATTCAGCTCTGGTGTGCTGTCGACAATGGCAGCTAGCTCAGGATTCATCGTACGATTATCCTGCTGTGGACTTGTGACTGAAAAAAGAAAGACCAAAAATGTTTTTTTTACATGGTAAAAGAAACTAGAATTAACGTTTACCTGATAAAAAAAGGACATAGTTAATAGCCTGATCATTAAGCCCCGCCCACTGTGTACATGAATATGTATGACATAAAACATGGCTGTGATTGGCCAACTAATTATAGGGCAGGGCCATGCTATTGGTCAATTGCAAAGGTAACAATGGCCTAATTTCAATGAGGTTCTCAGCAGAAAGTTTTGCTTAGGAAATGCATGTACATGTAAATCTGGAGTCAAATCAAATTTGTAAAATTCCCCTTAAGGCCACTAGCAGTAGTACAAAGATTAACCAAGTCTTCATGTACATGTAAATTCTGATGACTTCTAACCTTTGACCTGACCTTTGACCTTACAACCATTACCTGTGGCAGCGTTGCTGGTATCCACGCCCGCCTGCGTCTCAATTGTCTTCTGCGGCGTCTTCTTCGATTTTTTCCCGTCGAGAATCTCCCGGTCGGGCGAGGTCATGATCTCATGGTGGAGGTCCGAGTTATTGGCTTGCTCGTTGGGGACAAAGTTCCTCTGCTGTGCGCTGGGAGAGTTCAGGGAGTGTGCCGTTTCGGTTTCGTTTGTGACCCCGCTCACATCCCCCTCCATGAGAATCGGGGAGTGGGGACGGTTGAGGTTTAACCTGCGAGAGAATGGGAGAAATGACAGGAAACCGGTTAAATAGACGCGTCCAAACAGTACGAAGAAATATCGTGCAAATCGTGCATGTTACGTACTGAGTCGTTACTAGGTGTACCGATACGGTAGGTGCATGCGAGAAACACATTTACGCTGAGGAAAGTAGAAGAGAAACAGAAAGTTGTAAGAAATGAAAATGACCCTGAAGTTTCGTGGGATGGAATTACGAGGTGGTTAAGTGACTGTTGGTGCATGCAGGATACACATGTAGTTAACTAGTACTTGCTGAAGAGAATGTTTGCCAAAACAAGAAGGTGAATGGCTCCATGCAAAGAGATAACATCTTGGGTAGACCTGTAGCTACGTTGCTATTCATAATCACTCTTGGACACCAATTTCGTAGCATGACTTATATGGGCTCCGTGCACAAGTACCCCCTCATCAGGTAAGAAAGGGAGAGTTGGGGGAGACCGCTGGAAAAGGCATTTGAACGCATTGCTGACGACGCCTGACGCTCATGCAAAGTCACTTGCATATTTGGAATAAAATTTGTCGTGCATATTTCGCGCTATACGCACACGAACCAGTGCGCACACGCTATGTGTCCCATACACTGGGCTATCAGAATTGGTGAAAAAACGCCCTCTCTTGTTTGCACCGAGCCCCTAGCCAATAGAGATCTAGGCTTTCTGCGTGTCATTATTTGAAAATGCACTTCAGAAGTATGGCTAAGTGACATGCAAGATGGAACCTGAAAAACTTGTTTTAAGGTACGCATGCAACTTAAAAAGTAAAAGGCACACACGTGAACATTCCAGAAATAACTCAGGTTATTTATATGCATCATTTCATAAAAATTAACAGCAGATTAATGAAGTTAAATTTGACTGTGCTTACTTAGTGGTCTACAAAATCTCAGTTGTGCATGTAATTTTTATTTTCTAAATCGACCCCTGGTGCTAGTCATGTTAGCAGTGTTATCCTGTACAGTTGTAATTGCTTAAAAGTTCCAATGAAAAAACATGAAGTTGCAATGCAGAAGTATACTTCATGTTGAAATAAATTACAGCCGTTTAGCCCGTTTGGGTCAAAATAAACAAACAAATATGGTGAAATTAAAATAAATATAATGGTATAGGTATGAAGTGAAATCTTAAATGAATCACCCTTTATTTGTTATTACAGATGAAGTTACATGTATTAAAGAAATGGTACTGGACACTAAGCGAAGAAAAAAAGGGTGTTAGAAGCTTTGCGAGTGCACCTTTAAAGATGAAATGACAATATTGCTTGTGGTATGCTACTAAACATGTACTTTACAGAAACGTTGGACAGAGTTTCTTTCTCTAGAGCTGTTTTCAAAGTAAAATATTTCCCTTTTGAACTTTTCCTTAGCTGTAAGCCTACTTTTCAAACATGTCAAAGGAAAGAATTCAAATCACTTTCAACTTTGCCACTAATAAAATTTGGGAACACCAAAACTTTTTTCCATACGCTTTTGTACTCACAATATGACCGAAAATTCTGTCAATGCTGTCATCAAATTTGCAACTCAACTAATGAAAAGGGGAATATTTCAATTTTGATTGAAATGAAAAATGCTACACAGTGTGAAAGAAAGAATCCAACCACCACATGTGCGGACAAAACACTGAGTAAATGATTTGTAAATTTCAACTTAGCCTCGATTTTGGTTTTGATTTTTTTGCAAAAGCTGGGCGGCATTAGCACAAGCTAATGAAACAAAGCCAACCGCCTAAAAAACTGTAAACACAATGCAGAAAGGGAAGAAAAATCTGCAGAGAGAAAAGAGAGGGAAATGGGAGGGGAAAACAACAAGAACAATCATGGGTTATCATCAGAGTTTGCACTCACAGGCAAGTCATGTCTCAATACAGATCCCACTTCTGACACCAATTTTTAGGCACTAGCCAATCAATCAATTTAGCAATCAAACAGGCAATCATTCCATTTTACATTGTAAACAATCGTAAGATTGGAGATAAATGCAAACTGCAAGTGTCAAAATGGTTAATCCCACTTCTGACACTAGTTTGGAAGCAATCATCCCAGTAAGCAACTCCAGAGATAACTGTGTATATTGCAACATGTACCGGTATCAAAAATGTCTCATCCCACTTCTGACACCAACATTAACCATTCAATCAAGCAATCAGTCACTTTAAAACCATTCATGAAATAAACCTATAGCCTATGTACCTACATCAATATGTGTCTTTAAATTCTCCATCCCACTTCTGACACCTTTAGAAGACATTAATCACTCAATAATCCATCCATCAATCAGGCATTTACATTGCACCAATTACACAATCTATGACATAACATAACATGTCTCATTACATGTAGATCCATGCATGAGAGTACACAACATCGGCACTTATTTCATTGAGTTCTTTTCTGGGTTCTACAAATGTGGACAGTATATTTTTTAGAGTTGAGATAATCGTCCATAACTGCAGAACAGCACACATATTGCACATGCTTCATCAATCCCAGGTTATTCTTTAACTTTTGGTACATTAATGACTTACATAATGTTACAACGACCACTTTGTTCCAATTACATGTATTTCATATGTGCTTACAGGAGACAGCAAGTTTTAACAGAAAAACGTCATGTTTAAATTCGCTTATTGTCTAGTACTGGTCCACACACTGTATCGCTTTACACAAAAATTGTTTGGTAACAAAATTGCCATGGGAGGAAAATTTATTGATCCGTACCAACTGTATCATCATTTCTCATATCGTTATGGCATCATGTGGAAGCCATTAGGATACCGGTATGTATCGTAAAATTGCACAAAGTACATGTAAATTTAATTTGTCATTTCTGATTTGATCAGGCATGACTTTACTGTCAATTCTCACTAAACACACACATAAAAAGGAAGAAGTATTTTTGTTCAATTTTTTTTTTAGTAACTTGCCCATAGAGTACACGTTGCCGAATATTTTTCGTACTGAAAATGTTGATATTAAACGAAACTTTTCTTTTTTGAATTTCTAAGCCAAATAAATTTCACCCCTCAAAAAAATTAATTAAAAAAATTAAAAATTAAAGAAACTGTAAAAACTTGATAACTTTTCAACGAACACTATGCTGCACTGGCTTTACCCATGTGGGCCATTCTATATATGGTCGAAGTGTGACATTTGTTCCTGTCCCTGTTACCTCAGAACTTTCTAATTTTACCGTTCAAGCTATTCTCATCTGTTGGGTAGGTACCGTAGTGTGCTTTACATTATCACACTAAGTGGAATAGACATTACGGAGTGCATCTAGAAGTTACAATATTGTTACAAAAATAAACCAGTTTTTTGTCCCCGCCCGCTTCCTTTTTTCCTGACGCCTCACTTTTAATTTTTTTTTTAAATTCATACATTTGCAGTATATTTTGCACCTATATCCTCAATATCCTGTATTTCTATGGTTTCCAACAAAATTGTAGCTATGTAGAAAGGATTATGGCTCCTTTAGACACAATTTTGTATCAGCAAAATAGTCGAGAAAATTGAAGAATCCATCTGCCATAAAAAGGGCCGCCTCCTTCATTTAAAAAAAAAAGGCCAGACAAGAAACTGCTTATCTTTTTTACTCGGCCTAACAGGGACAGGAAAAAGGTGACCCCACGTTTACAGAAAGACCAACGTGACTTTGACAAATTGGAAAACTGTATGTCGTCCTTCAAATCCTTTTGATTCCATCCCCTTCCAAGCAATACTTGAACTGTATTTGCGTGTGCATGCCTATTGTAACGTATGTGCAGTACATGTACCGGTACATTTGTACGCGTACCTGCAAAGTCAAATTTCATCATATGCACGCCACGGGATCAAGGACAGAAAAAATATCATGACTCATTCAGGTCAGTGCAGAGAAGAGCAACGATGCTTCAATATATCCAATAATATATGCTGGCTGCACATGGACTGCACATACATGTACATGTACTGGGAAAAAAATGAAGTGCTGTTTTGACTCAAATTCACACATGGTTTTCTTATAAGTGTTTGGCCTTTAGTGACATTTGACGATGGTGTTTAAATTAATCATGAGATCGTCGTTTGTGGATGAAAGATTTTCATCATCATCTAGCAGGAGTACTTGCTGTTCAACAATATGCTGTTTCACTTTTTATTTTAAAATTGTTCTGAAAAAAGGGTTCAGTTCTTTAAGTAAGAAAAAACTTGTCACAATTAAAGGGTCCATGAAGTGATTTTTCTTAGGAACACATTTTGTGAAAAATAATCGACATCCCTTTTTGGTTAATTTTTATTGAAAAGTGCACTCCTTTAAACATTTAAAAATTCTCCATGCTTTTCTGGACAGCTGAGGGCGTTGTTGCTGTGATGTCATATCAGAAAGACACTGTTCAGTTTAGGGGTTTTCTGTTCAAATTGTGAACCCTCATGTTTGCTATATATTGAAAATATCTGTGAGAAAGGTTTGCTCATTGGCTTACTGCCATGTACTGACACAACAACGAATCACCAAAGAAAAGAATAACGGTACACTTCAAGTTCATGGTTTCAAAGACCATGTGGGTATTGAACAAATTATAATAGCTAAAGTTAAAACTTTGTATTCCTCAACATCTTACTAATTTCAAAAAGGATAATAATTCGGTATTACTTGTACGTCCCCAATTATCACATAAATAGCGCCCTCTATGAGGTGTGCACAAGGCCAATACAACGTTGACACAGTGGAAGCCCTATATAAACTCACCTGAATAACCTGGGACTGCCAACTGAATCGGTCTGGCCTGCCATCTTGAGCCTCTCAACATGCTCCATGTACTTCTGTAGGACCTACAAACGACAATCATAAAAAGAAATTAAAAAAAATTGACAATCATTTGAAAATAAGGGGAGGAGGGTTCAATAGTAAAGTCACTTTAATAAAAACACATTTTGAAAAATTAATGGTGGCTGACATGATACACACGAACAAGATTTCCAAAAACTTTAAAATAAAATGTCGTTTACAATGTAAGTCAAAACAGCCTTCTTATGTATCGTTGTATCATAAGAATGGCATGGCAGGGGAATGGGAGGGGCATGGGGGAGGTGAAGAGGAGGGGCATGGGGAGGGGCAAGGGGCAGTGACAAGAGGGGCTGAGGCTAAAGCCTTTGCATCAAATATGCTAATTGATTTTAATTAGCATGTCCAAAGTACAATTTGTATACATGTACATTGAACATCATGGAAATGAATAAAACTGCTCCAAACTGATTGTATACAAATTGTTAGGCCCTCTGATTTTTTTGAATTTATACATAATTCATTTAAAAGGAAAGATTTTTACAACACCTGTCTTGAATAAAAAAATACAGTGCAAGTGTAGTTTATGAAAAAATACATTAAAATAAATAATTAAAAGTACAATAAAAATCCTCTTAAAGGTTCCACGGTTGCTGAGAAAATCCATGACAGAAATGCATCTTTCACAGTGCAAGAAGGGGTCAAGCTTTCCAGCTGTTTGTTCAGTGCTTTAGTATTCAGAGTTCAGTTCTCTGATCATGAATATTAATGACAGCTGAATCACAAAACCTGAGTTCTAAAAACAACAAATCTCAATCAACCTGCTCTCTTGTGACCATATACATGTACAGGGGTGTGTATGTGAAATAAACCAATACCACTAATACTGCTTGGACTGTGGAAAACATCAGGAATATTGTTTTCATTTCAACAAGTTTGTGGAACATTTTGCTTTAGTTTTATGTAAAGTAAAAAAAAAAATACATGTGCATACATGTACATGTACATGTATGCCTTCAACAGTTTGGATCTGTGTCTGTACATTTACATGTAGGATTAATGAGAGCATGATTGACAGGCAATTATGCAATAGAGATTTTAAGAACAAGTTTCAAGCACAGGAAAGTATAGCCACACTTTTCAGGCACCTCTATCTTTTGTGCTTACACCATTGCATTGAACACCTACATGTATGATTCTGAATGCCACACACAGTAATCCAGAGGGCATGTGCACAGAGAATGTAAGCTCCAGCGCACATCATGAATATTCATGAGGTGCAAAGTGCAGACAGCACAGTACACTAAGTAGGTTTGCTCACAATGACTTTAAGACAATACTCCACCACTGATGACAGTACCTTTGCAAAATGGGTGTTTTGAAGTAGGGAATTTCATAGTTTGTTTGATAAAGAACATGGAAATTTCAAATTTGTCTTGATTTTGTGATGAAGAACAAATCTTTGTTGCAAACCTGTGACTTTTTGAGAGCGTGTTGAAAGTCGGATCATTGGATATCCATTTCTTGGTTAAAAAGGGTTTTTGCCTCTTATGGCACATGAGCTGCCAGTCATTGGTTGCTTGTGCGGAATCGCCAGCAAGAGATTTCGGAAACATAATATTTGGAAACTGTGGCTGTCGGTTGTCATTTGCACTGGCGCCCTAATAAACAATGAAAGAATAGAACTAATTAATGACTAAAGACAATGGTCTTTGGCCAAACACTCAAAATAATTGTTTCTCTTGACAGACGTGGAAGGTTCAAAGCAACACCAAGAAATATTTTTTAATCAAATTTTATTAACAGCCTTAAATTTGAGTCTTAACAAGTCTCCTTCAGAAGCAAAAAGAAATATTCTCCTCAAAAACATGGCATGGCAATTTTAAATTCTTGTGCAAAAAATGCAAAGTTTTGGCATATGTTTCAGCATTAACAATTTTTTAGAAAAATTACTTTCCTTCATCAAATACCACTTATTCATAAAATTAAATATCTAGCAAACTGGTTTCATTATTGGATAGCTCTTGCCAATTTCAAAAATCACAGCTGCCAAGATATTGCCAGGAAATGATACAGGCAGGTGTATTTTTGATCTCATCCGAAAGGCGTTCTGCAGTTGTTAATTTTTCTGATTTTATTTGGTTGTACCGTCGGATATAAGATGAAAAATTAATGTGAGTGTAATTAAAGACAGAGGGGTTTGATCAGAAAATAGAAAATAATGCAAAACAGTGCTTGAACGTAACTAAAATTATTCCCAAGACAACACTTGACGTATGGATACCTGATTGTAAAATCGGAGCACGTTGTTTCAATTGTATCATGTTACTCCGATAGCGATAGTTGGCAAGTACAGCCCCATCATGCATGTTGCAAAAGATGGCGTGAGCTTGATAAGTTGTCAAAGTCCAACTCCTACATGACATATCTTAATATCATGTTCCTTTGTGCATAAATTTGTCTGACAAGCTGGTTTCATTGTGGGGCTGTTCTTACTGACTAATAAAAACATGTACGACTAGGATAGTAACATTGTGCAATACCGGTACATGCCATTTTGTGTGATTTATGTAATTTGGGACTTTTAAAAAAATTGATAGGCTTTTAGCAATCGAGAACCATGACACAGTACCGGTATATTAAAAAAAACCAACTTTTTATTTTGAAGTGTGTAATGCTGATTTTTAAAAAACCAGTGCAGGGCCCGTTGAAAATGTGCCTGTTCGGAAGGGGCATGAGGACTGCTCATACAAACAATGCACCCGATTCATTGAGTTGTTTGCACAGGTTGAACGCACACTCACAGGTTAAACACACACTTTGTACACGTCTCTGACACTGATATTTACCCATACTGGACAATGGTATCGCCCTACAGTGATGGTTGCTCATCAGTCGACTGCAAAATGCTGTGCCCGTGCAGCCACTCATGTACATGCGTACATACGGAAACATGGTATGCAGTGCTATTTACCCATACTGGACAATGGTATCGCCCTACAATGCGTGTGCTCGTCCTTTTTCCATTGTTGTGTCATATTGAGCATGCGAGCTTTAGCTCAAACATAACGTAAACAATTGAAAAGGACGACAGTGCGTGGTGGTCTAGGCTTTAATATTGCCGCGTTTTCCACAGAAAATGCTGTTTTTTTGCAGCTTTTTCGAGAACCGATCATCCAAACAACTTCAAACTTGGCACTGCACATTCTGGGGTCCCGAGCAATACACCCACCGATTTTAAACTTCATACGGTGCCCGGTTCTGGAGATAATCAACGTACAGACAGACAGACAGACAGACACACACACACAGATTCCTGGAATTATAGTAAGGATAAATATTGTCTTTGAAGATTCATATTTGAATGGATAATATGTCTCTTATGTGGTTTAATAACACCTTGAACTAGCCCACAACAGTTGACGTCAACTTGCACTCATTTGTGTACACCATGGCCCTCTAGTGACACCGGTGTGACAAGTTTACATGTAGACTAAGGGACGTCATTCTGCATTAACTGTCAATTCATACACGTATGTAATGATAATACAAAATGTAGATTGAGTGGCGAGTAGAGATATTCATAATGTACAGGTAGATGTATGATTTCATGTAAATTTAAATGCATGTGTGCCCATTACGTATTTTAAATACATACACATACATGCACATGTGTATGTATGGACATCTTTAAAGGGAATATACAACATTTGCAAACATCGAAAAATAAAACTACCAAGCTTTTACGAAATACCTTAATAGGATGTTGGTAAATGACAGTCTAAAGCATCCTGTAAAATTATGGCACCTGGTGTGAAGTCATTTTCAAGAAAATGGTATATTTGTAAAAATTTCCAGCAGTGGTCGGCCGAACACCGTTGGAAAAACCTAACTATTTTTCAACTACTGCTCCAAATTTACCATTAATTCAGTCCAAATTTTGTTTGCTATTGGTTACATGTTCATGAACGGGTGCAGGCCAGCTACAGACTGGTACCCTTACCTTACAATTTTCGGGCATCTGTAAATTGATCCATTTTATTTTTAGTGGAGTCAGGGAACCAGACTACTTGAACAGTTTTGTTTTTCTTGGTTTTTCCAGCATTTTCGAACACAAAACTTCAAACGCTGTCAGTGTAACAATATTTGATCTATTATACTAACCCCTCAAATAGTTCATTTCTGAAAATGACAGCAAAAGCCAATGATGTAAATATATTCCCTTTAAATTACGCTAATCTGTATTCAGCTTAAAAACCCTGCGGCTTTCGTATTAATGGAAATTTAGTACACGTACCTGTACACTGTACTGTCTGTACATGTTTACCCATAGCACAATGTACACATTGTATGAGCTGTAAAATCCAATAATTCTCGCATTTCTACCGAGCAGAGTCTTATTCAATAAAGACAAGGAACACAAGCTCAAATTCCGTTGTTGGAGACGAACAGAGAATTACAGAGAAAACGTAGTAATCAAATAAAAGAAGAAAAACGAAACGCACTTGTCCACGTAACACGTCATGTGTGTGGATAGTACACTACATAATGGGCCCAGGATCTGAAACATGAAAAATTCCACATTTTTGCAAAGATTTGAAATTTGAAAATTTATAATTACATGTACATATGTACAGCTGCAGTTCCAGACTGGAAAGTTGGTTGGGTAAATAAATTGTTTACAAAATAACTGTTTAGTTTGAGAACTGGCTTTTAAAAAAAGGGGGACTTTTCTTTCATTAGTGTTTCAGAATGTTTCAGGCTGAAAATTTCAATAATTGTGAATTCCTCAAGGGGTGTTGTAAAGGCTATGTTTCATTACCAAAATTCATGCTCATCATGTTTATGCGCATGTAGCAATATAGTTTTAGAATGAAAAGAAAACATTCTTAGCCAAAGATACAAAATTCAAATTATTGGGTACTTGCCTTTGAAATTGGAGGCCACTTAAATTAAAAAGAAAAAATATTTTCAACAAAAAACGTGAAAAGGGTTTACAAGTTTGTCTTTCCAACCGCTGTAAAAAGGCAGTAAAAACTTCATAATACATGTATGTACTGTACAGTAGAAGCCTGCACCATTTCTCCAAGCGCGTATGGGTAATTTTCATTTTTCCTCAACTTAATGACTCTACTGAATGACCAACTTCTTCTAAGATTTATGTGTTTGCGAGTGGGAAAAAAAACCTACGGCCGCAACTGATTAACTGGAGTCTCTATAAAAATGTCCTCAGGAAAAGATTGTTTTTTTAATTCAGACCAGGAACTAATGCCGTGGGGTGATGACGGTGGCCATATTGCTGAAACCTGACGAGTGATCTGTGGGTTTGATGAGGCTCTAGTTCTCTTATTGACCATGCCATTGTGCAATAATGATATACATGTACACACATACATGTAAGGTGTGAAGTACATGTACATGTACATGTGACATTTAAGGGAATATATAGTACACGTACATGCCATGACATTAAAGGGAAACATCCCCTTTTGACTAGAATTTAGAAACTTAGGGAAATGAAAAACTATTCTTAGAACTGTTTTATGTACAAATTTGAGGGATCTATATTGTGATTTAACGTTTAACAGCATCTTCAACTTGTGTGATTTTACAGGGTTTTTTTTTTAATGAGATTTCCATATAAACTCTGATTTGATTCCCTTTAAACAAACATTATTTATATAAACCGGTATAAAACAAGTCAGTGTGCTTCTATAGGAAACATAAGGTTTAGACTTTTGGAAACATTTATGCCTTTAATCCATCTATAGGTAACATGTCATACCTTGTTTCACTATGTGTGTTTGCACACTATCAACTGCAGTTTCCATAGCGCCAGACTAAAAATTGGCGTAGCGGCCTCTTTGCATAACATGCATAATGTATTGCAGCTCTAATGGACAATTGTATTTAGGCCAAGGCCATTTTCCCCATATCTCCAAAGTTGTATCACACAAATGTATACAAAGTGTACCATTAGGGGGACCTATTGTTCCCTTCTTTTTATCTTTGTAAGGACATTACAGGAGCAATTGGAATGACGTGCCCCTTTAATGGGATAGAGAAACCAAGCTCCTTGAGGGCAGATCATTTGCCGCACAGCGTGAGACATCACTGACGAAGACGTAAGGGAAGTGGCACAGGTCAAGTTTATTTTGAAATGCCAGTCTGGATGATATTATAACTCAATTATGGTTAGATATTTATATTCAAGTTTACAGCATGATCGCAGAATAACTGGGGAACAGGAGTTGGGAATAACTAGAACGAGTGACATCTATCACTGAAACTGAACTACACGTCATCTTTAAAAAATATCTTAAAAATAAACAAATTCAAAACTTTTGTCTGTAAATAGAACAATACATGTACAGTGCACTGTACCTGGAACTTAATTTACAGTGTAATTGTATTTTTGCAATTCATGATGAAGTTATCTATAAACCCCTATGATTATATGGTGTTTAAGATTTGTTTTTACATTTCACAAGATTTCAATTTCATCATTGCTCTATTAAAAACAGTAATTAAAAATGTTCAGTAATTTTTTTATTCAAAATACAGCAACAATAATTTAAAATATTGAAAAAAATAATCAGACATGTTTTAATTCAAAATATATTCTTGAAATGCCAAGAAAACAGCAGAAAACAACACATGTACATGTACACATAGCAGTATACCGTTATGTGTACTCGTACAGCTTCTCTTCTGAATAAATGACAGGTTTACTAGCAGACTGCATGCACTACTAATCACGTGTAAACGGGCCATAAATATAACTGGTTTATCATTGGAATGGAATGTTGGTAAATAACTAATTGCCAATGCAGGGATCATGACACTTTTAGTTTGCATTGTTCAACCACGCTGCAGTTTAAGTACGCATAGTACAACGTACGTGTGTACGTATGCACACATAGGCCTGTGTATGTGTTTTGATATCTATACAAATAGTACAGCTGCCTACGATATAAAGGATTTGAAAAATACTTAAACCCTAGATAGATAAAATAATTTGCAATAAGAAAAACCAATAACCTGAAAAAAATTCCAAACGAAAAACCGAAACAAAACATTCTTGGTTGTATAAGAAATGTGAATTTCAGGTGAAAATTATCCAACCTCTGCTTGGCAGATCAATCAATGAAAATGAAATCAATAAAACGCCGGGCCAAGCTGGCAGCAGATTACATGCAGTTTTGGATTTATTTAGGACACTGTAGCATTTATGTCAATTGCATTAATTTATGGCATTTTAAGTGAATTTTGACTGCGAATTATTTGTTCTTAAACTTGTTCATTGTAAGTAATAGGAGCGTCACACCACAGGCAGCCTACGGGTACCTGTATATTATGTATTAGTGTTTTTGTTAAAAAAAAATATCAGGGCAAATTTTGATAACAATATTCCCCCCCCCCTCCTCGAAAAAAAAATGATATCAGCTGTGGATAACTTAGTCATGGATTGATATAAAACACCATGTGGTAGTTCAAATCCGAATGACAATATTAATTTTCCTGTACTCTGCTGGCCAAGCTGTAACGGTATGCAAATTTATACAGCCACATAAAAAATGCATGTATGTATTTCCCACACACAAACAATGGCCTAAGTCCTGAAGTAACAATCCATGTTATAACGCACTGCACTACTGACACAACTTAATTACTGCTCTGAATCGAGACGATGCCACTCCTGGTAGCTTTCAGGAATGGTCTAAATTAACATTCTCGTACGGAATACGTATGAAACCTGATTCCATTAGTAGCGACACGGGATTAAAAGCCATTACAGATTGATACACGTGCATGACAGGTAAGTACATGTGCATGTAACTTAAAGGGAAGATACAACATTTGCAAACATCAAAAAACGAAATGATCAAATTATCACGAAATACCTTACTGGATTGTTAGGGAACGACAGTCTAAAAGCATCCTGTAAAAACGTGGCTCCTGGTGCACTGACATTTTCAAGAAAAACTGTATTATTTTTCCAACGCTGGTCGGCCGACCAGCATTTGAAAAAACTGTGGGTTTGTTTTATTTAAAATTGCTCCTTCTTTTTCATATTTAGTTATTCTGCATTTTCTTTGCAATTGATTACACACCTGTGAAGGGGTACAAGCCTGCTAGACTGATTCTTTGACCTCACAATTCCCCAAAGTCTATAAATTGCCCCATTTCATCTTAAGTGGGGTCAGGGAACCAGACTACAAGAACATGATTGGTTTTCTTGGTTATTCCCAGCATCTACAAACCCAAAACGTGAAACAAGTCAGTGTAACAATTTTTGCTATAACATACTAATCTCCGAATCCATTTGTTTTCTGAAAATTGCGTCAAAAGCAAATGTTGTACATTCCCTTTAAAAATGTTACGCTTTGGTTGATTCAGGATTAGGTAGGGCAATGGGAGTAGGATGGGGGAGAGGCAACCTGCTTGTGGGAGAGGGGGATGGGATTGTACTAGGGGTGGGATAAGGTTGTACTGGGTTGGGTAGGGTTGTACTGGGGGTAAAATAGGGTTGTACAGGGGGTGGAGTAGGGCTGTACTGGGGGGGGGGGGTAGAGTTGTACTGGGTTGGGATACCGCTGTCCGGGGGGGGGGGGGGGGGGGGGGGGGGGGGGAGCTGGGGGGGGGGGGGGTTAAAGCTGTTAGGGCAATGGAGGTGGAACCAGGAGGAGTAATCTTACCTCGTTATGTCTCTTCTGTAGTATCATGTATTCCTGTTTCATCTCTGATTCCCTGTACTCATGCCGAGCCACTACCAAAAAAATACCCCAAAACAAAATAATTACAATTTACACAAAATAAAATATAGCAGAAACCTTCATGACTCTGCCAAAATTTAATCATGACGAAGAATGATGCACCATGTAAGTAAACAACAAAAAAGGGACAAATTCAGCAGGTCTGAATCCAGCTAAAAAACTGAGATACTTTTGGGAAGATTTGATTGATTTCGTGGTAGCAAGGATTAACCAGGGAGAATCTAAGCAGACATTTAATCTTTGAATGTTCAGAAATCTTGTACATGTAGTTCCCCCTACCCCCCCCCCCCCCAAACACCCCAACGGGTCTGCTAATATGGATCGTTGTTTTCATACCTTGGTCAGTGTAATTCTTGACTTTTAGCGTCATTTGTTTCTGGGCCAATTCCAGGTTCTCCACACGAGCCTGCAATGCCCTCCTTTCTTGATCGTTGGCGTCCTCATACTCCAGGAATTTCTGTGAATTAGAAAGTAAAACAGACCATGAAAATTGAGACAAAATTGTGATGGGCAATACAAAACCGAGGTCATTTGCAGAGACACGTTCACAAACTAAAAAAAGTTGAAATCTTCATTGAAGTTGTTTGAACATCTATTTTAAACTTGTCAAAATCATGCATATTTCCTTCCTTAAATAAGTTCAATTGCCTGACATTTAGCCACACTTATATACACCAATAAAAAAAAATACCATGGTAACCACAAGAACCTTTTTTTTAAAGTTAATACTTTTTTAACATTTTTTTTACAACTTGTCAAAATCATATATTTACTTCCCAAATCCCAACAAAACTTAGCATTCATTACATTTGCCTCTGACATTTAACCATATACACCCCTTAAAAACTACCATGGTAACCGCAAGAACCCTTTTAAAAATGTCAATATTTACATATTCACAAAAGTACTGGCATTCTAACACATGATTTTTTCCCCCAAAATCTCAAGTCTTCGATTTGTTGTTTGAATGCATGGTCGTTGTATAAACGATGACTAAACTATTTTCTGTTAGTATTCAAGAGTTTGGCTCATGGGACCTTGAACGGCTTTTTATTTATAAATTTCGTTGAAATTCTGCATAGACAAGCATGCAGAAATATCAGAATTCTGTTGCAATCTTAGTAGAATACACAACCAATCTTATGACAGAATACATATTTCACCAGGATTTTAAGATTTTACTTAGCATTTCTTCAAATGTAAAGTGAGTTATATGTAGCAATTTGAATTAGGTTTACAAAAATATAAAAATGCAAAATAAAATTAAATTAAAATTTGATGACGAGTGATTGAAAGCTTCCAAGTTTACGCAAGCCACAAATCAATGGAAAGGAGTTATGTTTCGTTCTTATATACAGCGCACAGTACCGGTACATGAACGATAGGCAAAGTTCTGCATTCATGAAAGGTAAACCTCAGCCCAGCATTGATTTTTCTTCTTCAAAATACAGTGACCTTTCCCGGTGAGTAGCCTACTTCAGTATTTTGCAATCTTAGAATGCGGAATGGTAAATTTCCTATAAATACATGTTGGGTTATGGTTTAAAAAGACTCATAAATTGTTTTCCTGAAGTCAGAATTCTGGAAACTCCCCAACTCAAAACAAAACAAAAAAGACAAAAATTTGTTTTGAAAAGATAGTGTTACAAACTTACCAAGTACATACATGTAAATTTAACAGAACAAATAGAGGTACTGTGTGTATTTCAGGCGTATAAATGTAGTTTGACACATTTGTATGTATTGTAAATGTTTCCTGATCTAGAAAGCTTATGTCAATAAAATGGACACAATTTGCTGTAAAAATATGGAAAGGTTTCAGTCTCGATTTTGCAGTGGATTCTATGAAAGGATGGGCTATTATTTTCTTATCACGGTCAATGAACCATTTCATGGCTCAACAGTTTCTGTTTTTGAAGAGTTCTTTCAAAGTTGAGGAGTTTTTTTTTGCGGGGTTGCAGAATTTGGTGTAATGATAAAAAAATCCAGGTATTTCAATACAGACTGTACAGTCATCATGATGCTGACCCAGTCATGAACTGTGACCTTCTCAATGGGTATTTCCTGTTGTATTTTGCCCGCAGGCAAAAACAGCACCAGCATGCTGAACTATTTTGAGGCCTGTGGAAAATCCCTTTTCTTACCACAATGTGTTTCCCAAAAATGTTTTTGTGGGCTGTGCAAACTATTATTAGTCTCGGCAATGTCGGATTGTTCATGACATGCAAAATTAAGGGCAGCGGGCAATTATTATTAATATTATTTTTTTTGGCAATGAAACTGAGGATTCCTCAAAAGTGCCCTAGGCACTGTAGCTCGCAAGCCTGAAGAAATCTGTAGAGAGTAGACAATGAGAAGAACTTACAGTTTTAGAGGTGGGAGGAAAAGCCCAAACGAATGTTCAACGGAAAACCCACCGAGTCAGGTAGGGACTGAAAACCCAATCCACAGATTGGCCCGGGCGGGATTCGAACCCGGGTCACAGCGGTGGAAGGCGAGGCGAGTACCGCTATGCCAACCTGACTCCCCAATGTTGGTCAAGAGAAATCATAATCATAAAAACAGAACCGCAGTGGCTTTGTTGTCTCACAAAACTTCATTCTGCCACCTGTACAGCCTGGACTGTATTGTGGCCCAAGTGTGGAACTGCAGGGCCACACTTGTATACATACATGTACAGTCATTTTAAATCAATTTCAAAATGCAGTCAAGTAAATTATGGAAAGAATGTAGTATCCAGAAGCCACTTCTTTGGTTGTGTACAAAGTCTATGGTCAGCTTTCAATGGTCATATTAAAGGTTTTTTGTTATAAAGTAATCTTCTTAATTTCTTATGTTATATGGGCTGGTTGCCGATTATTATTAATAGGGTGAACTTATGTTCTCCAATATCCAATAGGAAACGATGAAAGAGGCAAAATGAAAGAAAAAGGGAAAAAAAAAAGGGGGGGGGAAGGCCTTTGCATCCATGTTTTGCACCTCCCCTCAACAATTTTGGAGGAAGGCAAAAATGAGCTTCTCGTTACACAAAAAAAAACAACGTAGGCCTACTGCCGAGTAGCAGTACCCAAAACTTGAACCCAATTTACGCTAGACCCAGTAACTTGGGCGCTAAGTTAAACTCCCTTTTTTAGAATGTTGTCTTTGACTTTGGTCAGTCGAGTACTAGCGCCCCAGCCAATAGCGGGCCCACAATTTGAAATCAGTATTATTGAGCTGGATGGATGTTTGTGAAAATACAGATTTTTCATTGTAGACCCACTATTCGCTAGGGCACTACAACATGGTACGACCGACCAAAGACAAAATTTGAAAAACATGAAAAAAGGGAGTTCAGTTGTCTAGTGCCACAGTTACTGAGCCTAAATTTACGCCATGCCCCCTGTGTAATCATGATTACAATTGTTATAAAAGAATACGAAATCATGTTTTGTTGTTTACTTTAAAAACACACAGACCTACATTACAAAAAACATGACATAATAAACACCATGCATGACCATGGCGAAGATGATGGCCCACATTTCAACAAACCTGGTCAGCTTGTTTACGGAGTTGTTTTTCCCTGTCGTATTGCGTGATCAGCTGTTCATTGTCATCCTTCAACAGCTCCACTTCCACATCGAACTTCTTATTGTCGCCCACCGTGCTGTCCAAGTTCTCCAAGACGCTGACGACGAGCGGCATGAGCTCCTTGACCACGTTCTCGTCGTAGCACTTGATCATCCGCTCAAACTCCCGGTAGATGCTGGACGCCAATGCCTGCACCCGCTCCGACATCACGCTGACGTCCCCGTCGTCAGCGGTGCCGTACACGATCTCGTCTTCCAACATGGTTAGGCAGGATTTTCAACCCGCCAACGGGTACCAAAATTGTGATACTACCTCAAGGTATCTAGGTCTCCCACTCGATCTCGCTGCAAGGTTAGTTTTAGGTGAAATTCGAGCAAAAATCTGGTGTCAAAATTGCTAAATCGTAACACACCTTCCTGCGCTATCAACACTACATGCTCCCTGGTGCCCGGCTATTGGCTATTACGTTTGCGCGATAAGATACGTACGTCGGGTTACCATCGAAATCATGTGATGATACGTGCGTCGTGCATTTGATTCCACGAATGTGGTGATAGGAGGGGCTTACGGCCGGAAGGGGAGGGGCAAGTAAATAGAGGGCGGGGTGTGGAAACGGAAAAGGGAGTTGGACAAACCATGTGGACAAACTAAAGAAGATACAAGCATTTTCACGACTTTTTTCGAACAAGTGTGAAAATCGATCCGTTTAGCTATTCAGTGGAGGTCCCCCCTCAAAAAAATAGTCACTTTCAAATTTCATTTCATTCACACGTACTTGTCAGTGTTTTGAAATGACATAGGCCTATCACCTAAAATCATCGATAGCACCTATAATTTTAACTAACGGAAATGGAAAGATGAATGGTTTTAACCCATGTTTATTGCAGTTTAATCACATTTGAGAGTTTTAATTTCCATCTTTTGGGAAGTTGAGGCAGTGCCGTAAGGGGGTCTTATGGGGAACCTAGGGGTGCACAACTTTTTTTTCGGGGGGGGGGGGACAGGGGAAGGGGGAACTGAAGGCAAATGAAACATATCTTTGTTGAATTCAAGAATTTGAATGGGGGTTGGGGTTGGGGTGGGTGGGGGGGGTGGGGGTTGGCCCCGGGGGCCAGGCATCTGCTGTGAGCACGCCCCCCCCCCCCGCAGTTACGCCACTAAACTGAGGTTTAATATTGCTCATTTATTTTGGACAGTCGTACAGAAGTGCGCCCTCCTTTTGATTGCGCCCCGGTGGGGGCGCTATCTTAATGTAACGGACACAAATATTTTTTTAAAGTATAAACAAAAGTTGATGAGGCAAAAACAAAGTCGCTTTTTAATGCTTTTATTTTATATCGAGAGTTTGCAAAATGACAAATACCATCACGTATTAAGAAATTGAAGGATTTTTCTATATTTTTTAATGCACAAAATGTACTTTACGAAGTTATACAAAATAAATGGATAGCACAGAAAGGGCAGAAAAGAAAACATGTACAATGGGTGAGAAGAAAGAAAATTCAGTTTTGTCCATGAAAAAAATGTTGCACATAGACAGAAGTTAACGAAAGCGGTATACCAATATCATACTTACATACTTTGAACAAGGGTGAAGAGCGCCATCATGCGGGACAATTCGTTGTTTATTATTATTGTCGCCACTTTGCAAATGTTAAGTTTGCTGTCTTGTTTTGTTTTCATTTTTGTGTAATGAGAACAGACATTAAAGTGCCATTGATATCAATAAACTACATCAACTATTCATAAATAAATCGAGATCATAAATTAATTAATGCATCATTAACACAAAGCATTATCAATAGATTCAAATGTTACACACCAACATAACAATCATACAATTCACATTATGCATAGCTGCTTAATAAGAGTATAGCCGAGAATACAGTGCCTTACAATGATTATGACAAATGCATTGTTCATAATCATTGTAATAATTACAACCATTTTTTTTTTTAATAAACAATAAATTTTATATTAGTACTGATGATGAATGCACGATACTGCATGAGGAAAAATACTTCACAGGGAGTACTACCGTAACACAATGATATATAAATATATATGCAGTGTTTTCGCTGGGTATATAGATAATATTTGTATTTCGTTTACATAGTTCAAATATAATCCCATTTTATTATTTACATTATTTTACATTATAGTATTTTCGTTTTTTTCAGTGTAGTTATTTGTATTGGGTTAAAGATACCGATTCCGTGAACCGACACTATCCCTGGCCACGCCCCGCCAAGGTACCCCTAGCTTTCCGGCCTTGCACTAAACAGTTTTGTGATTGGACCCTGAAACATTCGGGTATCGAACGCTTGACCAATGAGAGACAAGTTTGTTGGTTACGTCAGCAAAAACGCGCCCAGCTCCGGAAGGGGCACTCCCCATAAAACTTGTTGATTTGGAAGAATCCTGGCGCGTGATCACTGTAACGCAGGAGGCCCCCATCAATGGAGATACCGTTGTGCAAGCTACTGTGTAACGCTATACTGCTCCGTGACACATTTTCTGAACAATAGCTAGCACGATGCTTTCGCCATTGAAGGGGGCCTCGGTGATCGATTGCTTGCCCTGATTGGTCGGTACCTTGTGACCATTATACAACGGGAACATTGTGGGGCATTGTTATTATGCTCACACTCACAGTAAATCTAAATGGCTATAGTCGTCAACCAAATTTGGTCCGAGACGAAATTCGGCAGTGCTTAAATATACAAAATCGAAAATTACAAAAACGTGAGCGATGGAAAAATCGTTGTGAAAATAACCGTAGTACTTTAGGGTAAACCCACATCAACGTAGCGCAGAAAATTACAGTCTATTTTCGATTCACATCCTTGCATACAACATTTTTGTGACCTACTAAAAAAATCAAAACCTTCCAAAAATCGGGAACAGCTTCCAAAAATGAATAAGGAAATAATTTCGTCTCACAAAGCACATACTGATTTGCTGCAACATCACTGAAACAGCATCTCCGCAAAGGAATTGTCTTCTTCAAGATGTAAATATATCATTTTTTATAGAATAATTCTAATCTAAATAGATCCAGACAGCCGACTGGATCACGAGCAACAATTACGATAAATCTTTAAGGGGAAAATATTAATAATAATGGACGTATTTACCCCTGTATATATATATTTTTTTTAGCTATAGCAAGTTGAAAATATAAATTCTCAGCCTTTCCGAATTTTTACTTTTTGTGACGGTTGTAAATTGTAGTAGTCCTTAAAGACGCATAATAATTTCTTAAACTTTTTAAATATTAAGCAGTTTATATAAATATGGTTAGGTTATGCTAGTAAAACACTTATCTTTAGCTGGCTATATTACAAACCTCTTGAGGTTTATGGTCCGTGGTTTAACTCACAAGGGCCCATATCGCAGGGCTCCTATACATGTTCGTTCACCCATATTAGATAAGCACACACGCACGAAAATCAAATCACACATTCCTCAGCAACATAAACCTTTTTCACGATCTATGATGGTCTTTGTATCCCTGCTCAAATCCAAGCTCGGCTGTGTTTAGTGAATCAATCTACTAAGCATTTTTCTACCGACCTTACTTCAAACTTTGGCCCTTGAGAGTTGCTCGGAAACCCGTCAACAACTTTATAAGGCCAAAATATTTATTCATAAGGCCTAAATTTGTTTTAATGAGAGGTCGTAGCCTAAACTCAACCAATTTTAAACAGCCTGTCGAACACATCGTGGTCTAAAAGCCATATCCTCAGTGTTTTGGCTGGACCCGACTGATTGAGTCTCTGACTGGTTGAGTCACTAACTGACTGACTGACTGAGTCACTGAGTATAAATGATGTCCTTAACTAAGACTTTTGGGTTCAGCTGTACTAGTCAAGCCTATTTTTGTTGGAGTGTTTTGGTTTGGCAGGTCTGGAGTTCAGAGATGGGTGTACCCATGGCGGCTGTGGTCTTCCCCAAGAAGTGCCGGTGGGAAGGTAAAGTACTGTCCTGACGGGGGCGCACCGGGGGCGATTCCGGGATCTTCTTCCTGTGCCTCCTCGGCCGAGTCCGGGACCACCGAAGGTGGAGGTGGGACGGGAGGAGGCGGCGTCTGGCTCAGGATGAGCCCCTGGATGCAGAAATGCAGCTCATCCTTGAGCGAGTCCACGATCTCCATCTTGAGTCTCTCCAGGTCGCGCCGTGTCACCTCCTTGCCGCTCAGTGCGGCTGGAGTGTCCTTATCTCCGGGCGAGGCGCACACGGTGAGGCGCATGGGGCTGGTGGGATACTGAGGGGCAGGGGCGTGGACCTCGCGATGGTGGGGATGGTTGGTGGACGAGGAGGCACTATCCACGCTACTGTCTCGCTGGCTGACGGTGCTAGCCCGGCTGCTCGTACGAGGCGGGCAGGCAGGGGTGCGAGAGGAGGGCAATGCGGTGCTCGTACTGGTCACGATGTTGATGATCTCTTGCTTGATGCTCTTCATGTTGGCGTGCTCGCGGGCCTCTTCTCGCTTGCGGTCTTCACGAAGCTCATATCTGAAAGAAGAGAACAACCCGTCATTTAGAACACAACACATTGACAAAAAGGAAAAGTAATGAAAAGAAACCAAAACAAATTTTTTTTTTTTTAATTGACAGAAAGTAATTTAAAAAAAATAGACACCTGGGGCCATTATCACGGGAGCTGCATAATTAAACAGAAATCTGCAAGGAGAAGATAATATTTACTCAGAAAAAAAGAGGTTATTAGTTAAAAGTACATGCAATGCATATTGCTGTTTAACTGGTTCTCATCTACTTTTCGTTTAACATCTCAATAAATTTTCTAAGCAGTATTTTCTGATCCACAATGTGGGTCTGGTGGGATTCGAACCGGCGTATACCTGAGACTTGAGATGTCCTGTTTGATTTCGTTGAGGTCATCCTCGTTGACTCCGTCAGCCTTGCGGTTGGCCTTGGTCATCTGGATGTAGCGGCTGACCAGTCGTTTCATCACGTCCTGGTAGCGCGTCTCTGCCGTCTGGGCTTTGGCCCCGAGGTTCCCGTCACCCACCTGGTGAGAAAAGGGGAAAGACGAAGAGGCGATCAAAAATTGAACGAACAAACCGAGCAATCAAGACTACCAGACAACCATGGAGTTACATTATAATACACAACGCAAACGGAGAATGTGTTTTCCACTCCAGCTCGAATTCTAAGTTGTGTTTTTGTTCCAGGCCTTGGGGCTCACACGAAAAGAAAAAAATAAATATTTCTGCCCCTTTTCAAAGCAGAGTTTCTGGAACAATTTTGTGGGCAATTTTTTTGGAGTTGAGTTCCGGTGTAGTGTGAAATTTAGACTCTCTGAAATACTGACTCCTTGGTTGTATTGCGCATGCGCATGCCTAAACTTAGTGAAGATAATTAGGACATGTGATGACAGGCCACGTCATACATTATATGAGACCAGATTTCATAGGAGTCCAAATTTCAATATGACACCGCCTTCGCATAGAAGTTCTAACTACAAGTTTGGATACGAACGTTCTATTTGCAAAAAAAAGATTTATTCCCTTAGTTTAATTTTTATTCTTTCATTTACTTTCAAATTTCATTTAAAAACCCCAAACGTTAAGAAAAGGCAAAGAAGCATGCACAACCAAGAATTAATACTCTCGTTTGTTCTGAATAACAATAAGTTCATCCTAAAGTTTTGGACATGGAAAAAACAGCTCTCTATAATTGTTCTTTCCGGATGATCATTTTACCCGTATGGTTCCATCTAGTGAGCGCCTCTTCCGCGGTTTGTAGTTGGTCTTGAGTGACCGTCGGTATCCACACAGCATTCGCCGCATCCCGGAGATGAAGTAATAGATGGACTTGGGACTGATGATGAGATTGAAGGGCGGGGGTAATGTGGAACCCTCGTCAAAGTAACTCATCCAGAGCTTGGAACGGGCAAATTTCCACTCTCTGTCGGCATGATCCTGATAAGATAAAAGAGTATTCAGTGGAAACCAGAGATAAATTAGTCTCCCCTCCCAAAAAAAAATTAGATAAAAAAAACCATGGGAAAAATTGAGACTTTAATCGTCAGTCAGACCGAATCCGAATCGAAACAGGGGACGTGGGAGGGACACACACTAAGATCTAAAAACCTGTGAGACTTTTGGAAAGGCCACCCTAAAAAACCCAAAAGTAAGTACCGTTTTGGTCAGAATCTGCTGCTGGTCATAACCGGTTTTTGGTTAACAGACAAAGATGTGGTGCAATCCGATAAGTTTACAAACGGTGCGTTCCAGACTAAATCCTGTTTGGTTCACCGTGGTTGACGTGTCGTGTAAAACCTGGTTGAACCGTGTATAAACCGTGTGGTAAAATGAGGTGGAAAAGTCAACCACACTTACGATTCTAATTGGACCCACTTTAAATTTATTATAAATTCATGGACACAAAAATTCACTCTAGCAACCATTGGCAACCATGTCTTATACATTGGGCCTGGCCTTGGCATTCGGAATCTATTTTTCAGAGCCTTTGAGAAAGATCCTGCTGCGATTGGAACGTCAGGCCGTTACTTTTATGATTTGTATATTTTCAGGTAAATCCGGTCAGTATATAAAGCAGGTTTTGTTTCTCTCTCCCCCCCCCCCCCCCCCCCCACCACCAGAGTATTACCTGGATGGTTTGGAACGAGTTACTCATCATGGCAATGAGCATGTTGAGCAAGACGATGATAGCGATGATGTGATAGGTCAACAGCAGCAGCTCGCCGACTGTCTCGACTGAGCGGTGCTTCCAATGCGTCAACTTGACCGCGTCCTTACTCGTCAGGCCGAAGAGTGCCCACAGCAGGTTCAGAAAGGACTGCGACATCCTGCCAAATAAAACAAAATTTATTTTAGAGGCTTGAGACACTGTTGTATTCACAGTGAGTTTTTGTCCTCGTTGGGGAGAAACAATAAGTAAAGTGTCTTTCCCAAGGGCACAGGTTCAGGAAGCTTGAACTCACGATCTGTAGAACTAACCACAAGGTCATGAGCTAAACTAACGCACCAGACCGCAAAGTGAAGACACTGCAATGTGTCAATTAGGTGCTCATGATCGTGAGTTTTCGTGCATCAGTTCAAACTTTTGGGATTCGTAAGATTTTAAGAAGACTTACATTTGCAAGGACGGTATGGGTGGGTTTGGATTTTGAATTTCGGCTCCTTATAAGTAAAGCTAAATAAAACTCACTGTGAAAAGTCATTGCACGTCTGAACCGCATCGCCCGCGGTCGCGTTGCATGATTGGTTTTCGCCGTTATCGCCGTAGTACCAGTACAGCTGGTTCATCCCGCACGCGAAGGACAGAAGCACGAGAAAGAAGATGAAGAAGAACTTGGCGATGTCGATCAGCATGCATCCCAGGGAGATCTGCAAGGGTCCCAGATAAGGGTTGGCCTGGAACAGGTAGATGATGCGGGCGAAGCTGAAGACGTTGGCCATGGCGAACAGGCACTCAGAGATGAGGGTAGGGTCCTCGGACGGCCATTCCGCGCGTAATACCTTGCCGTATCCCGGCTCTATGGCGGCCTGGATCATTGCCGTGATGCGCAGACTGAACGTGCACAGGTAGAGAGTCAGCATGATGAAGTCCAACCAGTTCCACCATTGGCGGATGTAGGCCTTGAGTCCCTCCTCCCAGAGCTGTTTGCATTCACCCCATATCATGCCTGGATAACGAACATTTACCAGGCAAAAATTCGTGTTGGAAAAAAATTTAAACGTGTAGGATTCAGTGAACGGTAATCTGAATAAATAAAATTCAAAATAATTCCTACATGCGTAGGTCTGTAGTGAATCCGTTTGTGACAATGTCCTTTGCATTGTTCTCATATTCTGTCATCAACCCCTTCCCCGATTTAATTTCCTCTTACTGAATTATTTTCCAAAGATTTTCAAGATTCCAAACAACCCACTTGGCCACGGGGTCCCAATAGAGCTGTTTGGGGTCAAAAGCTCAAAAAAAATTAGCAGATTAGTTTGGTTCAGCAATTATTATGGTTATCGACAGAATAATGAGGTGTGTTATACTGGCCATAGATACTTCCGGCGTTATAGCAAGTTCATTTTCGAAGCAGTTTGGTTTCTGCTGTCTGGCACTTTGGCCACAACGATAATGTATGTTCTTCTCGCGCTCAGCGCAGACGCCGTGGGGTTGTGTGACATAGTTATTCTCCATCTAATAGAGATAATGTTGTTTCTGTCACAAATCTTTATATAAAATTTTTGACAGTTTAATGTACGGAGGTCAACGGATTGTGGAAATACGGTTGAAAAGTGTTCGTGCCATGTGTTCATTATACGCGCAAATGTCCATTGGCTCTTCTATAATATAGGGCACACAGTGTCATCTACAGCTGCCCACGTCATGCGCGCGTGCACCCATGTTGGACATTATAAGAACGGCTGTGATTGGCCAAAAATACCAATGGGTGTGGCTTAATGGATGGGTTTATCAACGCACGGGGTCAGTAATACCCACCTATCACCCAGACGAAGATGAGTGACTCGACCACGTCAGGCGGCCGGCCCCGGTTCTGGTTGGACCCGGCCACCTTAGCCGACAGCAGCACCAGCAGCGCCAGGAAAATGACGAAGGAGGAGCTGTGGTGCATGAACTTCATGAAGGGCGAGCGCATCATCTGACCCATGCGCGTCTTGGGAAAGAACAGGTAGACCAAGGCGTCGATGGGCATCATGATCATGACGGCGATGCAGAGCAGGAACTTAACGAAGACGTTGCTGCCGCGCCATCCCGGTAGGCCCTCGTACCAGATGGACGACAGGACCTGCTGGGTGTTCGGGTGGGCCACAAACTGGAAACCGGGAATCAAAGTTGCGAACAAAATACTGTGAAACTAGGACCTTTTCCGTGTTCGACTGTTCTTCCTAAGACCTTCAAGGGGACAAGAAGTCCTGAAAACAATAGCTACAAGGATTGAGCTTAGTTTTGAAGCTCTGGCACTTATACAATGGAGCATTATAATTATTAATACTCTTCCTTATGTGACCAACTCGAGATATCATTATTGAAAGAACTAAGGTGCTTAAGAAAATTTTTGCAAAGGATTGGAACCTAGTACCTTCTTCAAAGGAACTTATAGTTTCTTTAAAGTAACCCATGGTACATTATTTAACGAAATTGAGTACCTTCTTGAAAGGAACTTAGTTGAAAAGAACTTGAAAGAAATTTAGTACCTTATTGAAAGGAACTTAGTTCCTTCAAAGGAACCTAGTACATTATTAACGGAACCTAGTACCATCTTCAAAGTAACTTAGTTCCTATTTTAACGGAACCTAGTACACCATCTTCAAAAGATCCCAGTACCTCACCTGCTTTTGCTCATACTTGAGTGCAAGGCGAAGCCTGGCCAGGGACAGTCTCCCACCATTCAAGTCTTCGTCTAAGACCTCGTCATCCGATTCGCTCTCCTTGTTCAACACGGCGTTCACCTCCTCAGAGCTACGGCACTGCTCTAGCAGATCCACGGTAAAGCTCTTGGTCTGCTCGTTCAGCTGCATGTAGATATCCTTGAACTCGTTCTCTCGCATGGCAAGGTGCTGGAGCTCCCAGCTCAGCTTGAAGGCGGATAGGATCGGGTCGCTGCTGGTCAGAGAGATCCAGGCCGGGCTGGCTAGCGCCTTGAAGGTGTTGATGCGGTGAAGAGAGTAGCGGAGGCTATCCTCAAGCTGCTTCTCCGTGCAGGTGTCGCACTTGCAGATGCAAGGATGGGGCTTGGAGATGGTAGCTCCCCGAGTAAGCAGCAGCTGCAGGATCTCAAACTGGTTGCAGTGGGCGGCAAGGATGACTGGCGAGATGTCATAGGAGTAGTCTGAGCTCTCCTGGCCCTTCTTGAAGTGGGTGCTGCTCCAACCTTCCCCGAGCATATTACGGGTGATGCTGGGATGGTTGACCATCATCTCCACCATCTTGTAGACCCCTTCGCGGATGGCATACAGTAGGGCGTCTCCGATCTCGACTTTGTCCTGCTTGAGAAGGAGCTCCACTATCTCCACATTCTCGTTGTCAACGACCATCTGTAAGGCACTGCGGCCCAGGATGTTGGTCACGTTGACGTTGACGGGGTTCGGGGTCAGGAGGCATCGTTCCACGGTAGCCTTGTCTCCTCGCTCCGCTGCCTCCAGGAACTGCCACTCCTTGGCCGTCAGTCGGTTCCCCTCGCTGAAGAGCTGAAGGGGAATGCTGCTGACACCCGAGATGAGAGACGCGGTTCGATCCACGTCTGCCACGGTGAGGACGGGGTGGTGGGAGTCTAGGGTGAAGCCCAGATTGGTCTGTCCATGCATGGAGGGTTTGAACCCTCCACCACCAGGAATGGCGCCATCTTTGACAGGGTAGGGAGGGGGTGGGTGGAGATTTGGGGGAACGGGCGTCGGGCTTCTTGAGGACCTCATTGTGATGAGATTTCACAACTCTTTGCAAATTTTCTTGTCCAATCTACGCAGAAAAGATGTCAAAAGTATATATTTTGTTTAATGTGACAACAATGAAATTAGAGCATCGTGCTGTCGTGTGAATTTCAGACAGTGGTGTACATGCACAGTTCGGTCAGACTTTAGTTTACTAAATCCGAGGAAAACATCGACGAGACTCAACGGCACCCAGACAGACAGCCCTATGGCCCAACGGACAGCCTGACAGGCGTTGAACAGGAGACACTGACATACAACAAGACAGGTATATAGACAAAGCATCAGAGTTACAGCCAAGACAAAAGACAAACAAACATCATAACAAATTAACATTACACAAATCAACAAACAAGAAACAAAATACGCAGGCAATATGCCCATTGAGAGCTCATCGATCGCTCATGCCTAAAGTCATCTTCGACCAGGCTCTCTCCAATGGCGCGAGCGCGTCATACAGCCATCATTGAGCTCCCAGCCTCATTATATCTTCATCTGCAGCTTGCCAAGTCTGGCGACATCAACTGATATTTGATGAGAATCAATACTCAGATTGCCAGAGGGAAACCACTTCAGACCCCCCCCCTTTGCTTGAAAAAATAGTCTCATGAACCGTGCTAGATATGAAATTCAGAGCACCCCTCAAACAGATATTAATTTGAAAAGTGAAACGTCACTCACTACGACATTAAACGCTGTGCCGTTACTTTCAAATGCGCTTCTTTATTAAGTGGTATTCCAATCAAAACATTGCCTATCCATATACGGCCAAGGCTGTTGTATAATACTTACTTGAACAAATTCAAAGGCTATCTGATTAATATCACGGAAATGTATTATTTTTTTCCTCTTTATTTTGAAGTGCCCTTGGCATTTCGGTGCATTTTTAGTCTGCATCCTGTAATAAGGCGTCGCGGAGGTCGGTGATAAACGAGCGAGGCCTTGCCGCGCAGATGGGCCGGCTACAGCCCGCAAAAGACCGGGAGAACGCGAGAGAGCAGCGCGGTAAACGCGGGTTTCCGGACCCCTTCGCATAATTTTGTCGTTAGTGTTTCGGTTACATTTTCTTCTTTATTTCGATACCACTTGGGCGGTGGTACTTGCATACGGACAAGGTTCAAGTACTGTCCATATCGCACCCACACCGGAGTTGAGGATGTTAGTCATGCATGAATTGGGGTGTAGCGTTTTTGACTAGGCCTCATCAAAATACAGTTTTATTCACACAATAATTCTTTCGAAAATTGAGAAAGTTTTTCAACCCAAACATGAAATGCTATTCTGTACATGAGATATAATGACACAAAATACAGTCGATTGCAAAATATTTATTAAATTACATTTTCCCTTTAATAACGAAATTAAAATAACGTTGGGGATGGCGTTGTAATACCTGAAATTAAAAAAAATATTCCTATTTTGATGAAAACGACCACAACACACTCCTCGAAACGTTTAGCTAGACTCTTTTCTGATCTGCAACTTCTGCTCCTACATTTGAGCTGTCGACATTTTGAGCTGTTTTAACAGTTGTCCTTTACTGAACGATATAGAATTGAATTGAATCGGATTATCTTATCGGTAACAACAAATGAGGGTTTCCTCCCATACTGACAAGCAAAATTGTTGTCAAGTGGTACATCAACTACACGCGGATAAATAAAAGGATCACACGGTTCATGAACCAGAACAGTTTCCATGGTGATGATGCAATTTCCGTGAAATTTGTGATCTAACGACAATCCTCAACATTGAAAGCGAACCTGCTTTGAAGTCCTCCCCTTCCTACTCCAATCACAAAAACTAATATTCCTCCAGATATACCAAAATAAAAAAGTAAAACAACAAGCAGTTTACATCAATAGGCCTACATGTACAATGTATCATGCGAAAGGATGCTCTACTCCCGGGTTGTATATTTTATGATAATTTTGTGATAGTCGTTCCCGTGTTTAAATGACGCTCCACGGCTAGTCTGTACACACGGTATGCCTGCGTGTAGCTTACCGTAAACTGAACTCCGTCTATCGATCGATGGAGTTAAGTTGATGGAGGACATGGACGAAGTGACGAGGGGGAAGAACAGACTCCATAGAATAAAAGATTATGTCTCTCTCTTCTTGTAATAACGAAGACAAAAAATGCAAAACTGAATTCCGTATTGATGTAGCAATAATGAAAGGATATCCATTGCAATAGATACAATTTAGCCACCGTAAAAAACCGATTGGTATTTTGCTGACGAAACATTTCTATATGAGACTAGAAAAAGATTATGTTCATCCTTTGCCTTCCATAAACAAGAGGTTTGATGGACACTGAGAGTGGTGTCTAGTATGGTGATGATGGTGAAGATAGTGGTGATCTATAGTGTCATGGTGATAGGCCTATGCAAATATTTTGCAGGACTTGGAGGGAATTGAGTTCATTTTATAGTCTTTATTTTGATGAGAGGTTTTCCCGGGGATAAAATGTATCACTCTAATTACTGATACAAACCACACTGAAACAACATCATGTGGTCGAGTATTTGCCTGCAAAATACGTAGCTCTCGTGTCAACAAAATTTTGACATAAATCGTGAAAAACTCGTTAGGATCTTCAGTTTGCACCTTTAGGGAATTCTTGGAGACATGACACGAGTCTAGACGCTGTACTAGCTTGCCACGTGCGTGACGTCGATGGAGATCTACTCGCGAGAATTGAAATAATGTGATCAAGAGATAGGCTAGTTCTTTTCTCAGTTTACTTACCGAATCACTCATGCAGTAGTTCATGTAAATATCAACAACGGCAATCGTGTTTTTGTGAAAAACAGCTACAGGAGTTGCTTTCGTATAGATGTGGAGGCTGAATGTCCTTTTCGAGCATCGTATGGTTGCTGATAACATACATTTTATACAGGTACACGAACGAAGGAGTAACGATTTTTTTTTAACACCATCTGTAAAACATCATTGGGAAAGACGTCAAGGAACGAACGAAAGTATGGAAAACGCACCATCGAAAGAGAGAGAACTTTTGCCAGACACAACAAAGTTGGACTTTATTTTTCAGGATAGACAAATAGGGGCGTCTTACCTCCAACAGTAATGAATTACCATAGAGTTTTTCACCGGAAGTCTTTTCATGCATCTTTACCATACAAGCCAGATTCAGCCCATTCATTGGCGATACGAGTAATCATATACGATAGTACTGCCCGGATTACAATTAACTGACAGTCAATCAATAGGCCCTACGAAGAGGACATTAGAAAAAATATCAACTGTACGGTTTTTGAAGACCAACCTAGCAACAGAAGCTAGGTTTTATCTCACTGGACAAGAAAAATCACTCGCTACAAATGTACAGTATTCTGGCGTGGTGCACTCGTCAGATGTAGGGCTGAGATCAAGGTTGTGCGGCCTTACCATTGCACCGCGCACTAAACTGCAGTCAAGGAAAATGTCGAAGGGCGAGATGACTGAACCACCAACCTCGACCCCGAACTTCGCACGAACTCGCAGCAATAAGCTGATTAGGCCTACACACGGGCAATGGAGCTTTCGACGAAGGAGAATTCTACGAAATGTGCGCTTTAACAAATGACGGCATGAAGGACACTGTGCAATGGAAAATTACCGAAGTAGCATTGTGTTTGGTCTCGACATGAAGTGCTCATTAAATATAGTCTGTCACTTGCAGTTAGCTCGGTGCACATTTATCGTGTTCATTTAATTTCAGAAGACTTAACCGTAATTTCTTACGCCATGTAACATATACAAGCAGTCGTTCTGAATAGCCCTATCTTTCAATTCGGACTAATGAATGGATATATCCGTGTTTCTTTTTCTTTTCTTATTTCCAGATGGACTCATGAATGTATTTTTTTCCCGATTCGGAAACTTTTCTTTGTAAACAGAAAAGCTGATGTAGTTTTGCCTGAACCTAAAAAGCAAATCAGCAAATTTAACATTTCGCGGCAGTTCATCAAGTTTTCGAATCACACTCCTGGAAATTTATTTTTAAAAATGAATTTATGCTCAACAAATCTCGACAAACATAACGCCACGAAAACGTAAACGTAGAAAGATTCATCAACAGAATCGAATAACGTCAGGCTCAATAAAAAAGCAAGAAAATCGCAATTCATCCTACTTGATATACCTTATATTGTTTGTGAAATTAATAGCACAACACCAAATTCTGTAACTGTACAGTCTTACATGGCATCGCCCGTCTTGCAGAGGCGTAGTGTTTCATTGAAAAACCTTCTATACAATAATTGTACAATCGGAAATATCAAATAAAGTCTGATTTGGTTTGAACGACTCAGTGCTGCCGACACAGAGAGTCATTTCTATTCCTTGTGGTCGTGGGCCATTTTCATTAAAAAAAAGTCACGACTGTAGGACCTTGCCTTGAATTCAACGTCTGTGAGCAAGTGAAACCAATTCTCTTTTCGAATGGACAAAAGGATGGATGAGCATTGACAGTTCTTTTTGATAGGAAATTAAAAAGAAAAGTCATATCGATTGCCAGGAATCGCACACACCAATAATTTGACTCTGTTTAACTGGATAATTACAATGCCCAGTGCAACACCTTCATAACACGACGTTCACACAATCTCACAGAAGAAAACAGATTTTCACCAGAAATAGATAGGCAGAATCATTAATAACTTGTGTAGATACAAATTCATTATTTTTTCTCTCTAAATTTAAAGGCATAAAGTATCATTTGCATTTCATGCATTGTGTTCGTTGCCAATAATAACACCGCTCAAATTCCAAAGAAGAACTTTAAACACCTAACCTGTTGAAGTTTCAGCTCAGCGGATAGTACACTTTTTGAGAAAACAGTGAAAAACCATGCACAACCTTTTGATCACGAAACACGAATTCATCGATAGAACTCAATTCTATTTCTTCAGATATCAATCAATTGACTGATCGTTTAAAATCACCTCCATTTCTTGATTTCTTCTAAATGACAGCAAGCCAGGCCGGATGTTTTCAGGGGGTGTGTGGTACCAGTACGATC